CAGTCATTAGTTTTCAATGTTTTACCTGTTACATTATAAAACTAAGGTTTCTGATTCTGACCATTAAACTATGACAAACCTTAAAGAAGTGCTGTAATAGTTATCTAGAAAATTATATTCTTTTTTGAATGTTCACCTATTCATAACTATTTAATACCTCTGCATTTAAAATTAAACAGTGTGTTAGTTTTAAAAGATGCATATTTCATAAAGGGTTACACCACAATGCCCATGTGTACCAATGTCAAGCCTATTTATGATGTTAAAGGATGTGCCTACTTATAATCGTCGCAACATTCTGCAAATAGTAAGACATTTAACTATAGGCTAGAATAAACTAGATTAGTAAGTAGTATAAGCTTTTTAATAGCTTAAGTTACTACTGAAATTCTATTTTATGTCCAATTAAATTCGCAACATCGTTTGTTCGTAAAAATATATGTGTAAACAAAGGTAATCTCTCCGCAACAAAGTCTTGCTTGGTTGGAATAGCCCCTTAGGTTACTAATATACTGTAACTATACTGAGATCTTAGAACTTAGGTATATCTCAAGGTGGGTGGCGCACTTACGTTTTAGATGTCTATGGGCTCCAGAAATCACTTAACACCAAGTGGGCTGTGAGCTCGTCCACCCATTAAAGCAATAAATATAAAAAAGATTTGGTATGGGAAAAATAGTAATACAGTTTTTATGCTTAGGAAAGTGTCCACGCCTTTTTAGTGTTGCCAAAAATTATAATGAACGCTGCGTTATCTTGAAATTGAGGAAGTTCACATGCTAAGAACCATTTATTAATCTTTTGACAGTATTTGTATCGTGTATGATATGTTTGTTGAAATAAAAGAACGCATAAAACCTAATCAAATATTATCGACTAATAATATCCTTCTTTATTTATGCATTAAATTTTGTACAAAATAAAAAACCTACGTCAAAGACGAATAAAATAGGCAAAGGCCAGCTTAATTTTAACATGAGTTTTTTTCATCAAACCCTTTTCTTCAAAACTTTTTATGAAATCTCTATATATAAAAATTAATTGCTGTTCGTTAGTCTCTAAAACTCGAGAACGGCTGGACCGATTTGGCTAATTTTGATCTTGAATTATTTGTGGAAGTCCAGAGAAGGTTTAAAAGGTAGATAAATATGAAAATGCTCAGAATGAAATAAAAATAACAATTTTGTTTTTCATTTCATGTGTCCTCCGTTGGACGGATTCCTTTTGTTTGTTTTAAGTTTATTTTATACAAAAGCTTAGGTCTTTTATTTATCCATTGAGGCCTACGAAGTCTGCCGGGTCAGCTAGTAATATATAAAAGTATCTGTAGTGTACAACATAACAGACATAAGATTTTTTATACATTAAGTATATAATTATGATCTGTTGATGTCGCGTTTATCATTCTGTCATGAAAACGTAACGTGTAACAATAGTTAAAAGATTAATTCTATACGCATTATGTTTGTTTACACGTTAACATTCCTTGAAGTTCCTCAAGACGATATGAGAATAAGATTGTGGTATATATTTCCAATCCTCGCTGTGTTATCACCCAGATCAAACTAGACTAGATCTTTTATTAAAACACCTCGAGGAAACATTAAATATACGTCAGCAACTGAAAACCCACTCGTTTTTATCGTTTCAATACTTTGTTATTAAGTTCGTAGATTGTTTAAAATTAGTTTGAAGACATAATTCAATGGAACAATTAATTCGATATGCCATGTACGTGAACAGAATAGCAATTGCTACACTAAATAAATTCTAATTATTATGTTATTGTCTTTCTCTATGTAGTTTCGATTTACTTAACGCGTCTCAACCCTCGACCGTTGGACCATAGCTCATTAACAATAATGTACGTTTGCGAGTATTTCTTAAAATTCTAAACGTATTACTATTTCAATGAATAATTAAATTACGGTATTCATACACGTGGATGGCGTTTTTCGTCCAGATTACCTGCCAACCATCACCGATCCATTTCTGTCGCTTGGCAATCTTGTTTTGCTTTTTTTTACCTCTTTTTTCCCTACCTATTCTGAAAGCTATATCAGCGTTACCCTAGCGTGTAGGTGAACTCTCGGGGCTCAAACCAGGAGGCGTTGCTAACACTGGCCCTAGCAAGAGCAGTGCTTCGCAGAATCTACTACCGGATCGGAAACACGACCCACTAAGAAGATTCGGCGAGAACTCAGTGGGCTCTGTCTGTGGGGTCATTTACTCGTCGAGCCCTTCGTCGCAAGCGACGGGTTCGGCGAGAACGGTGACTGGTGCTTGAGGTACCTTAAAGCAGCGTTATTGGATCGGGAGTTTCGCTTTACAGTAAGTAGTCCACGACGACGGAAATGTAACGTACTCGAAACTAATATAATCTATATATTATTATATATAAAAATGAATTGCTGTTCGTTAGCCTAGTTAAAACTCGAGAACGGCTTGGCCGATTTGGCTAATTTTGGTATTGAATTATTCGTGGAGGTCCAGAGAAGGTTTAAAAGATAGATAAATATGAAAATGCTCGGAATTAAATAAAAAAAACAATTTTGTTTTTCCTTTGATGTGTCCCCGTCGGACCAATTCCTTTTGTTTGTTTTAAGTTTATTTTATACAAACGTTTAGGTATTTTATTTATCGATTGAGACACTACGAAGTCTGCCGGGTCAGCTAGTAACGAATAAAAAAATGCATTACTAAAAACCTACAATTAATTTTAAGTATGTACACGACTCTCAAAAATTGAAGTAGATACTAAATCTCATTTCCGGAAGAGTGACAAACGGACGAGCAATGCACGCACATGCGAGCGATTCATACGATTACGTACGAAATATCCACTTAACAAATGTTCACGATTATAATATCGTGTAGTAAAAATCAAACCCGCAAAACTGTAGTTTGCGTAATAACTGATGGTACGACGTCTCGTAAGTCTCGACGGCACGACACCCTGCCTATTTCTGCCATTGTAACTCAACTCACTTAATGAGTTGTGAACACTTAACACCAGGTGGGCTGTGAGCTTGTCCACTCATATATGCAATCAATAAATAAAATATTATTTTGAAATATTGTATTTATTTTTCAAACAATTTTTTTATATTGCTTATGTGGGTGGATGAGTTTACGGCCCACCCGGTTAAGTGGTTACCGGAGCCCAAGACGTAAATGCCGCCACCTACCTTGAGACATAAGTTCTAGGGTCTCAATGTAGTTATAACGGCCGCCCCACCCTTCAAACCGAAACGCGTTACTGCGTCGCGGCAGAAATAGGCAGAACCTACCCGTGCGGACTCACAAGAGGTCACCAGTAAGCTAAATTATTGGCTGATATTTTCCGTAGCAAGCTCGGACCGTGGCTATCGCTAGGTCTAAAATTTTATGTTTAATCATCAATTTTGTTGTCTAACTTAGTATTTTCGTGTTTAGTTATTTTTTTCCTAATGTGAATTGCGAATGATTAGGTATTGCTTCTGCTGTGCATGGCATTGTTTCTGGGTGCTTCATGGGTATTTTGCAATCTCGGCGACAAACCTCAGCTACGGAAATAATTTAAATAGTGAAGTTCAAATAATGAACTATAATGAACATCTTAATTGTAGTGGATAAATTACATCCATAGCAGCCAGTAATATCGCTTAGCATCGGCTGGACGACAATTTCAGTAAGCTCACTGCTTATCGGACCACTGTGTGGATATTACTGCCTACCTTGAGACAGCATTTAAATATTAATTACGACATTACAACGGTAGTTTCATCCTTTAGACAGGGCCGTGTGGACCTGTGACATTTCGAAGCACAAGTATTTGATTTGGGAACAAGGAAATTCTGGGTCAGGGAGTTCCCAGAGAGATTTCTATTGGACACGTACGGACAAACTTACAACCAATATCGATATGCAATACAACTGGGACTACAATGCTATGTCAGGACAGACCGTCTAACAAACCAGCGTATTAAAATTGAAAAAAAAAACTTGTCTTTAAGACACGCTTGTTACAATTACACTGCCACTACCGTCTTTAGGGCAGTCTCGACCTTGGATTCCATTCAATCAGATAAACGCCGCTTATTTTTGACAGTTAAGTACTTGAATCCTTAAGTACGCAATGCATCGTGGCAGTAATAAAAAAAAAGTAATTCAGTTTACAGTGAGAATTTTCCGTGTTTAGTACGGAGTACTGTTTTTAATAGTATTTCACGTGGTTTCCATTGTTTTTCGTGTTTGAGTATTTGAATGACACGTGAAATCTTTTAGAGAAAAAAAAAAAACGTGTCCCTCGTAGTTTTGGATTCGCGACACGCGACCATTCACACGCGTTTCACACTGATTTACTTATTTATTCTGAATAAATAAGAAGTAATCTTCTTCACAAAGTTACTTAGAAAAAAAAAATCAAAAGTACTTTAAATTATACACCGAAGAAAAATATATATATTTAAAAGTTAAATATAAGGTTAAATAAAAGTTAAAAGTTAAATATTTCTATATTTAAAAGTTAAATATAATATAAGGTTTTTTTTATTTCGTCCACTTTCAACAATCACATTATCGGGGTCGCAAATTTAAAAAAAGTAAAGACAATTTATGTCGCTTAATTAACTTACCGACTTAGAATTTAATCGTAAAGGACAATTATTATTATCATTAATTATATTTTTATTATACACAACAAAATTAACAAATATTTAAAAAGTAGTAAATTTAGGTAGGTAGGTTTGATGAGCCCTCTGCAATAATATTGATTAAACTACATAATATGTATTTAAAATATATAATATAGTTATTCTTAAAATAGTAGCATTATCCTGATAACCATTAAAAAATCGCTTGGTATAAATAGTAAAATAATAAAGTAGGTATTTTTTAATTATAAAACAGCTTAAAAATAAAAAATTCGCAGAGAAAATTAATTAGGTAATCATTAAATACAAATATATATATAAATACAAATATATTCAATAAAGCATCATATAAATTAAATCACTTACCGTGTTTTATTGCGATCCTAATATTTTAATCGAACCACGTAACGCACAGATCGCTTTCAATAGATACCGTTGAGCAGGAGTCCGCGCTACTCATCCGCGCGTTCTTAAACGACTGACAGGTGCGCCGACGCAATACGCATGCAAACTGTCTCTCAAACACTAAGTACGGTAGGTACCGACGTCGCTGCGGCAAACGAAGACGATATCTATATATTAATACGTGAAACAAAAACTTTGTACCCCTTTGTACAAAAATTGCGCGGACGGAGGAGTATGAAATTTCCCACACTTATAAGAGAATAAAGAGAAGGAGCGCAGAAGGTTAATATATATTTTTTTAATTAACCATAAAAAATACATTAAATCAATAATAAAAATATTACACACACTACCATGTATTTTACACACACACACATGCATACCATTTGTTTACAGTAAAACTTTTCTTATTGCTAATAATCTGTGGTCAAATTCAGAATAATATTGTTTGTCTTTATCAATATTTGTCTAAACTGTAGTCTTGGCGAAATCTGTGATTATAGAAGTATCATAATGGTCTTTGAAAATAGTATCATAACAGTGTATGTACAAACTTATAATTTCAATTAATTATAGTCGAATTTCGACTACCGGGGGACCACTAGTTATTTTTATTTCTTTATTCGATGGCAGTTCCGCTGTTCCGTCAATTATTGTCGCGTATAGACATTGCCATATCCCAGTCACACATCCCAAGGCCCTGCCCCCCGAAAAACACAACACTGCCAAACTTGTGTACTTGTAATTTTTGTTAATCGTCGCTATGTTAATCGCCGCTATATCGCGTACTGGTGAATTAAGTGGTTACAGGATCTCATGGAGATCACAATGAATAATGCCGTCTCCCATCTTGAGACATGAGGTCGAAATCTCAGTTGGATTTCAAGTACAGTCAAACCTGGGTAAGTGAGAATTGGATAAGTAAGAAAACTCTATAAGTGAGAGTAATAGCCAGGACCCGTCACTTTAAGCTCCCAAAATCTCTATTAGCGAGAAACAGAAACCTCTGTAAGAGAGAGTCATTTTTCCCTCATGGACTGCGTGTGAGACTGCTACTTATCTATACCTCTATAAGCGACAGTCGACCTTTATTTTAGGAGGAACAAATGAAAAAACAAATTACAAATTTAACATCTGCTATTTTATGACTCATTCTTAACTTTCGTGGAACTTCCTATCATTGTTTTTGTATTGTTTTCTCGTCAATATTGAACCTATTCTATTTCGTGGAACTAAATATGTAACGTTGTTATTTTATCGCATTCTTTTATCGCATTCTTTTCGAATGGACACGTGTGCCTGTGTACTGTCCTGTTTGTCGGACTTACTCAGTTTATCGTTAATCAATTGCGAAGGAAAGTTCTGTTCTGCATCATGTAAAAACGGATAATTAAAGTTCTGTCATTAAAGTCATAAACTTAAAATAGTGAATGCATTTGAATCCGGAAAATCGCGAAACGAAATTCAGAGGGAGCACTAGCGAGAAACTCGGGTTAGTGAGAAACCTCTATAAGCGAGAATGAGATTGTGCTCCCTTGAACTCTCGCTTATCCAGGTTTGACTGTTTATCTGTCGTCCCGCTCGTCTAACCGGAAAACAGGATTGCTTCGTTACTGTAATAGATAAAATAATCCAACCACCACTGCTAAATGCTCCATAATGAACACTTATTAATTACACAAAACCGATTTTTGTTATATATTTTTTTTACTTAGATGGATGGACGAGCTCACGGCCCACCTGATGTTAAGTGGTTACCGGAGCCCATAGACATCTACAACGTAAATGCGCCACCCACCTTGAAATATAAGTTTTAAGGTCTCAAGTTTAGTTACAACAATTGCCCCACCCTTCAAACCGAAACGCATTACTGCTTCACGGCAGAATTAAGCGGAGTGATGGTACCTATCCGTGCGGACTCACAAGAGGTCCTACCACCAGTAAAAAGTTATTATTAAGTAATTTATGAAGTTAGCAATTATTTAGTAAAACATCAATAAAGATTTATTATTTATTATTCGGCGTTACGATTACACCCAGCCTTCTTACCATTAAGCCGATGACGTTTCGATCGCAATGTACTACAAAAGGCTACAAATACATACGTAGTGTACGATTGCTTTACAGCCAAAATAGGCTAGACAGTGATTTCAACCATCGTTTGCGACTACTAACCGCGCCCTGTCGTAGCTTTATTTATACATTTATATACGAGTACACAACTATATAGATATTTATTTATTTATTTAAGGATTACCAACATGGTTTACAGTAAGACATAAAATAACATTGCAATTGATAAATGCAACTAACTCTAATTAGAGGCAATCACAGCATGCATTACATTAATAGAATGACAACAAGGACAGTAATACCCGAGTACTCAGACCAAGGCTGAGGCTGAGGTACAACAAAAACTTTTTATAATTTTGTTCCTGAATATTGGAAGGGAATCGCCAAATATGTCAAGGTTTTCTGCTTTACTGACTAGATTATTATAAAAAGGTTAATTAGACAAGGAGCAGGTGAGTGCTTGCCTAAATTGGTTCTGCTAAAGCGGGTGCTGAAAAGAGCAACGGGGCGACGAGGTAACCTGGATGGCACCTTTAAAGAGAGTTTATTGAGGATGAATTGGGAGTCAACAGCACCGCTCATAGCTTGAGATAAAAACACAAGCCTAACATATCGCAGCGATCACTTAATGCTTGCATTTTAAAATGTTTAACCCTGTCAACATAAGATTCAACATAATTAGGCGGCCTAAAACGATACATGTGGCGAAGTAACTTTTTTTGAATTCTCTCAATCCTGTTAATATTAAAATATATTAATTAATAATAATAATAATAAAATTAAAATAATAATATTAAAATTACTTAGCTGTAAAAGATCACACAAAACCATGAGACATAACTATTAATAATAAATATTACTTATATTTGTTCAATGATCATAATAACTATCAGTCAAAGATTTACATTCATTTTATTTACATATTTTTGTAATGGCCATATTCTCTTGTGAAGCTCGGAAAAAAATCCCTTTTTTATTGTTATAATGATAAGTTCGTCAAGAAATCGTTAAACAAGAAAATGGAATTGACCAACAGAGTAATAAATAGTATTTACTTTGTCTATAGATTTTGTAAGTGCAATTTTAGCCGATAAGTTAAGCGGTGTAATGCCTAGAAAATAGACATAATATTATACGCCCAGAGACAGCCAATAATATTAAAAGACATTATCGACACGAAGATTTAGTTTAAATTCCAGTCTTACAAAATTTTTTCAGATTATTATGCCAGTTTATAAAATTGTTTCATTAGCACAATTTGGCTATTCATTTTTAGGAGTTAGGGTTTAGAAATTATTTATCGACACAAACAGAATAGTATTCACTAATCGTTCTTAATGTCGAAATTTATGGTCCAACTAAAGATATGTAATTTTGCAATGCCGTTTTAAATTATTTTCTTTAAAAGTGATCGGACTAGTTTATTGAAAGTTATGATAACTAACGGCCCAAATGTGCTGAGATAAAGTTTATTTATATGAAAAGAAAACTTCGCTAAACAATAAGCAATGTTTGAAAATGTTAATTTTGTTTGTAAATACTTACTTGCTCGGAAATTTATAACAAAGAATAGATAGTAAAGTGACTAAGCGTCGTCAGGTTTATGCAGTGTTGAAGAACATCAGAGACCTCGTATGAAAGTAAATCACGAATACCTTACAAAAGTAGGTGCTTTGTTGGTTTTAAGTTTTATTTTTCCTAATCCGTAGGTCACTAAGTGTCATGTGTCGGTCATCTTGACACAAAGAGCGTTCTACGTCGCCGTACGTACCGGTCGCTTTTTTTTTTTGGTGAGTGATATTATCAGTTTATAACGGCCTATTAAACTGCCGATATTTAATAAAAACTCTCTTAATAAATACTGGTATGGCGTATTGTGAATCTGTAAGAGTAATTTAATATTTAAATATATTTTTTTTATTGCCCTTGTAGGCAGACGAGCACACGGCCCACCTGATGGTGAGTGGTTACCGTCACCCATGGACTTCAGCAATGCCAGGGGCAGAGCCGAGCCGCTGCCTACCGCTTAATACTCTCCACAAGCCTCGTTTGAAGAAGGACATGTCATAGCGCTTGGGAAACACCGTGGAGGGGAGCTCATTCTATAGCCGGATTCCTTCCTAATTCTGCCACATAGACATAATGGATTTAATGGAAAGAGGATCTTTGTTACAACAACCACTGGAGCCTCGAATTTACATCCCAAGGTGAACGTGGCGTCTGGCGAATTTAGTTTATTTTGAAGATTACCGAAGGCCCGAAGGCTTTTGTAGAGTCACCATGACGGGGCGAATCTAATAACGAACTCGTAGCTGCTCAACCGCGACTTCTCCATCTACATTAATTAAACATAAAATGTGAAATTATTATGTTAGTTATTCTAATGCGTAGGCAACAATATCGTTTTCGTAATGACGCACTGCCGTGTGAAGGTTAGTTGCATGTTAATTTATTTATCTGTCTAGGCTTGCTATTCCCAGAGGTCATAGAATATGGTTCACTAAAAAAAAAACAAAATAAAGACAAACATATATAGTCGTACATGCTATGACGTATTTTTTTAAAGGAAATTCAAGAGCCTCCACATTGGACAGCAGCTTGGCAGTGACCCTGACATTAGCCGATCGCCAACTAGGGTCCTTTTTTTTACTTTGCGCGCATCGATTCCCACTTATAGTTCGTCTATCGTGGGGATTCAACGGCTTAGATAAGGCGTGTGCTGCAACTCCCTTCACGTTACAAAGCGTGTTCAAAACCTAGCAAATTAAATCTGACCTCACTTTACCATAAAATGGTAATTTAATGTTATTACGGAAGCTCCACGTCGCGCCTATGCAGGAGGGAGTAATTATTATTATTTCTGCGGAGAATTTGACGCTCACTAAGCGGAGAGTCAAGTTAAAACCCCCGTACGTGGTTCACAAGACAATAGTACATTGTGCATCAAGGGAGAACAGTTGGACATTTCCTCCCGCGTGTAAAATTGATTCATAAAAACAACAATTTAACTGTTTTTTTTTATTTTTAAATAAACTACTACTAATTGAATAACAGATGTCTGATGATCTCATATTTGTTTAATACTTCACTATTAAATTTTATTGCCTTTTGTTTATTTCACTTTTACACTAAGCACAATATTGCAAATTACCCGAGCACAACAAGTGTGGAGAATTTTAGGTGCGTGAGAGCAGACGTAGACACTAACGCGCACTCTTTAAAAAAAGTCAACATTGATGATTGATGGTGGCTCATGAACGTCAGCAAAGCCCGGAGCTCATCCCAACGGCTTCCTATCGCAAACTACAAACTATGTCAAGATTAGGCAGAATGGCGGGTAAGGTAAATAAGAGCTTCACAGTATGCAAGCTAGTTTCGCAAAGCTTTTCACACAAACTAATCAATAGAGGGCGACCTTCAGTACGAACTATTGAAAATTACTTAAAATTTTCACTAATCTATTATTCTCCAGAGCGAACATTAAATCCTAAAATGAGGTTAATAATTTAAAGTCATAGTTAAATAGAATAGTAATACAAATTTAAACAATTTTCATTAACTCATGTACTTTATTATTATTTTTTACCCAAATAATAAACGGAATCCTTAAGTACATACTTACGAATTCTAAACATAATGAAATTAAAAATGATTATTACAGTAAAGTTGAAAATCGTTTATTGTATACGAATACATTGATATAAAACTGCACAGCATAGAAAAGTTTACATTGGGCGGTATTATCATTGTCTATCATTGTCTATTACTATCTATATATCTCTCTGAATAAAGTTTGTTATACATAGACTATAGATTATTTAAAACAGATGTAAAAATGAAGGCGATTACTTATAACTATTTTTAAAGGTATATTAATTTGACGTGACTTTTATTGCTTTTCAAAGGCAGGGGAACAGCGTTCGTCGATGACTACCGTCGCCCGTGGACATCGGCAATGAGAGTAGCAACTCCACTGGTAAATGTAATACGGGCTAAACAGCCTAAATTACATTTTTGATTACCAAGAAAAAACAAAAACGTATAAATGAAGGACAGATTCTAAACATTCATTAACATAATTACCTAAACAACATTATTTTATATAAATAGAAATATTTAGTTGCGTAAATAGAAAATTGATGAATGGTCGATTATTAAAATTGATGATCACAACAGACATAATATGGAAGGTGGGGCATAGGTCTTTGACGTAACAACCCAATTTTATATAATTATGAGGTGTTTTAACACAAAATGAACGTATGCAATATTTGTGATTAGTCTACATACATACATACTATGAGATACCTAAACAGAAAGAAGTTTATTGTGGAAAAAAAATAAGTGGATAAAAAAATAAGTAATATAATTACGAAATTTATTGTTCTTGCTTTAAAATAATACACATATCCAACACTTACGATCTTATTCATAACAAAATGTTTATCTAATGCGTGAATCGGTAAAAGTTCATTTAAACCAATCAACTGTTTATTAACTGTTCTTATAACGAGCGGGCTATACAGATACGATAACCGATTATGAATTAGGCCTCAAATTACCCAAATGTTTTCAGTGGCAACAATATACATCTAACGAAAGTTTAAGATTCAAACAACCATTTTATATACTATTCGAAATGGCATGCGATTTTCAACTTTAAGTCGATATGAGTTGGTACAAAATGTATTTCAAATTTCGTTTAAGCAGCGCCTCAAGGAATACTTAAGAAAACAAACAGCACATTTAACGTATCGTTGGCGGACAACTGTGTGTTTAGTGCGAGTTTTTTTAACGTTCTCGATAGCGTAAAAGTTAACGCAAATTTGTATGCAGTTCGAAAGTTTTCCTACGTTTGCCGCCAGGGGCGCTGTTCCAACTCCATACAAACTTGAGTTAACTTTTACGCTATCGAGAACGTTCAAAAACTCGCACTGAGCACACTGAGCGCGGCTGAGCTCCTTTACACTGTCACTGCCCAAAACTTCGTATAACTTTATAAATAATAGAAACACTTCAATTCACATAATACTTTAATCTTAAACTGTATTAGCACTTTATGAAATACATACGCTTTTTGTTTTGTTTTCTTCTTTTAAGATTACAATTTATAGTTTTAATAATTAATTAAAAATAAAATATAAAACAGGAATAACTACAACCTAAAGTATGTCCGTACATTAGCCGATTAAGTCTTCTACGTCCGAGAGGTCCTGTGAACAATACAGATAGTTCATTAATATACATACATATATGTATAGGTTTCTTAACTACTTTTATAAATTGAAATAATCATACATAATTTATCATACGTACACAGACACTCACAACATACTATAACAATCGAAGTGAAATATATTTTTGATTGTAATCGAATGGAAAGATCATTTACATATTTGGAATTAGACGAATCACAATAAATAATATGTAACAAAAACGTTTTATTTTAACCATGATAACAAAGAATCGTAATGCACAGATGTTCGTAATAAATATTTGTCATTCACTTCTATGTACATAGCTGCATCAAACAATGCAATTTTATGTACACGAACCAGATCGTGAAATTACATGCACTATTTTATTGTATCATATAAGATAATACATTTTTTCTTTAATTTCAATTTAAATAACATATCTTCCACTTCAAACTGTTTCTGGTACACATTAACTCGTTTAGTTCTACGAGGAAACTTTTGATATTCTCAAGGCTTTAACCTTGTCTTAAATAAGTATTATTATCGTTATTATCATATTTTATACTGTCGAATTTAAATCAAAAAATACAGATGATGATCATTTGTGTCTGATAACTCATTTTCAGTAATACACATTAAACTGTGGTCCAATAAATATTGCTTTAATCAATCATTTTAAATACGGCAGTTCGAAATGGTAACAAGTCAGAAACGTGTTCTTTAATTATTTGATTGGGCTATTGGATTACCTGCTATTAATTGGATACTCGTTTCTGGTCGTGGTTAATTTTTTTCTTATCTCATACTTATTTAAGTGCTTTGAATTTCGGTTCAATTGTTTACCCTCTCCGGCATTATATCGACGCTTGAAAGGCAAACGTGACTAAGCGACAATGCGTAAACTTTACAGTAGACTAATTTAAAGTTGAAATACTTTCAACGAATCTAGCTGTAGGATTGAAATGATTTTAATAGACCTACAAATATAAATTTTTTGCGCATCGAATATGGTTATTGCCTATTATCTATACTTATATTACAAAGAGGAAAGATTTGTTTGTTTGTATTGAATAGGATCCAAAACTACTGAACCGATTTCAAAAATTCTTTCACTGTTTGGAAGCTACACTATTCCCGAGTGACATTGGCATAATCTTTTTTGAAAAAAAATAGGGATCCTTACTAAAACTCCAATAATGTAACCCAAAGTGTAAAAAAGTTCCCTAAAATATTCTTTACATTGCGTGCCCGGCGAAAACTATTGATGATAGAATAAAATGATGTACTACGACTTTGTAGAACACATTATTATTTACAAAAAGTTTCGCGACAGCATATGTCTAACTATTATAATTATACTTCAATAAGTGATCTTTTATTTAAAAAAATAAAACAACGTTAAATATCGTTGAAAATTTTGTTAAAGACCCGAGCGGAGCCGGAGCGGGCCGCTAGTTTATGTACAAAGCAGTTATTGTCGCTTAGTCACGTTTGCCTCTCAAGCGTCGATACGTTCTGCTCAATTGAAATACTCACATCGTTATCGACGTGGTTTTCGAATTCGATTTCACCGAATTCCCGTTCTATCTCCTCCATGATGTCGATTGAAATTTTACGTTTCTGTTGACTTTCGCTCGTCGTGTTCCCATTTGTCGCATCCTCTCTGCTGTCCCCTTCAGAATCTTGTATTTGACTACAAAATTTACAGCACATTAATATATTTTTTTTTTATTGCTTAGCTGGGTGGACGATTTCACAGCCCACCTGGTGTTAAGTGGTTACTGGAGCCCATAGACATCCACGACGTAAATGCGCCACCTTACCTTGAGATATAAGTTCTAAGGTCTCAGTATAGTTACGAGTTACTATTTACTAGTGAAGCCACTAGTAAGCAGTAGTCGAAATTCGACTATAATTAACTAAAATTCTAAGTTTCTACACTATTATGATTCTATTTTCAACTAGTTATTATACTTCTATAATCACAAACGCCAAGACTACACTATAGAAAAATATTAATAAAGACAAACAATATTTAATCTATTTTCAATTTGACAACAGAGGTCAAGAACAAAAGTTAGATAATAAATAAATAGTATGCATGCGTGTGTGCGTCAAATCCATGGTAGTGTGTGTAATGTTTTTTTTATTGATTTAATGTATTTATTAGGCATAATTTAAAAAAATATTAAAATTGTGCAATCCTTCTCTATATTCTCTATAAGTGTGGGAAATATCATACACCTCAGACCGCGCAATTTTCCTAAAAAGGGCTACAAAGTTTTTGCTTTACGTATTAATATATAGATTCTATATCTATATAGGTTAAGTGTTTATCTGTGGCGTAAAATTTCCACTCAAAGAACTGACCTTCGGCGAAGACGCAAAATGACAGTGTGAAGATTACAAAATATAATACTGTTAGTAAGTGTTATGTGTTCAATCGACATGTTTGTTAATGATAAACTCGAATGATAACAATGTGTTTCGCGAAAAAAATATCACGCAGGTTTACGATTGATACTAAATTATACGCTACGGTATCAGAGTAAGTTTTCGTATAATGTATGAATAATAGATAGGTCGTGTTCAGATTATAATCTATATACATAAAACAATGAGTTTAGCTTCCTGAATAGTCTTTGTTTTTTTTTAATGCTTAGATGTGTGGACGAGCTCACAGCCCACCTGGTGTTAAGTGGCCCATAGACATCTTTTTGGAGTTTACTCCTTTAGAATCGATTTACATATATAGGCCCGGGGTATGAAAATTATGGGGACCAAAATCGTACTAGCATGTCACACGAAATGCGTTATGCGCCTGATTGCGCATGTCACACGAAATGCGTCATCGCAGGTGACGCCGGGCTGCTGCGCCGGCAGTCCGCCACAAAGCCTCGTACTGATCGCGCGTTTCTCTCATTATTGTATTTTCATATATTTGTTAGTCGTTTGTTTTGTGTCTCGTTAATTTGTTAATAATCTGTAGTGTATCGTGTTGTCGTAATATAGAACTATTTCTCGTATTGTTTCGTTTAATTTTTTATATCCAGTAAACTCCAGTCGTGCGTCGGAGCGGACACACACACTTTTTTTTTTTTATTGTCTTTGTAGGCAGACGAGCGTACCTGATGGTGAGTGGTTACCGTCGCCCATGGACTTCAGCAATGCCAGGGGCAGAGCCAAGCCGCTGCCTACCGCTTAATACTCTCCACAAGCCTCGTTTGAAGAAGGACATGTCATAGCGCTCGGGAAACACCGTGGAGGGGAGCTCATTCCATAGCCGGATGGTACGTGGCAAAAAAGATCTCTGGAAACGCACTGTGGATGACCGCAGTGGCTCCAGGTAGTATGGTTGCACTCTACTCCGGTGGCGGGCGGTGCGATGGTAAAAACGAGATGCCGGTATCATCTCGAACAATTCCTCAGAGCACTCCTCATGGAACATGCGGTACAAAATACAGAGTGAACCGAAGTCCCTCCGCAGACCCAGAGGCTCCAAGCGATCCGTCTACAACGTCAATGCGCCACCCACCTTGAGCTATAAGTTCTAAGATCTCAGTATAGTTACAACGGCTGCCCTGCCGTTCAAACCGAAACCCATTACTGCTTCACGGCAGAAACAGGCAGGGTGGTGGTATCTACTTACGCGGACAACACGTGCTACGGGTAGTAACGTGTGTTTTAGATTTAGATTAAGACTACAAACTTGTGATTGAGTAGCGGCGGTATGTTGAGGGGCCCTCGTCGTTTCGCTTCGGCGTATTCCGCGGCGATGTCTCGTTCCGTATTCGTGATCTTTGAATTCGGCTCGACGGCCTCCATGGCGGTGCTCTGTTCGTAACCGAATTCGCGTTGGAAGTATTCGAGCTCTAACGATTCCTGTTGTTGATCGAGATAAAGTATCAAAATTAGTCGGGTCAGGTACGTACGTGACAACGAGTGTCACAACTTTAAAACGTATGTCTTATCTTTAAATGTCGGGAAATACACATATGTATCGAGAGATGTAAAAGGCTATTAGGTTTAAGCGACATTTCTCTTGACACGCAACATTTATCTTTGTAATTAAAGATGCGTTTTACTTGCTATTAACATCAACAGTTTGACGTTTTTACTTGAACCTCAATTAGTCTTCTGAACATCACACCGAGCAAGATCGAACAATTACTAGTTAATAATAAATAGCCTTTGCAGCAGACACTCGGGAGGAAAAAATTGTAACGAACAGTCTGATAATTATGTGTTATTAACATAATTATATGTAATACTTACTAACAAAATGTAATGATTTTTTTTAAACTGAAATGAATTATTAATGATAATAATAATTAATACTACTCCATTCAAATAGCTAAAGTATGAAGTTTTTTATATGATATTTTTTTCAAAATTCGTAACTTTTAAATCTATAAAAATGAATTACTGTTCGTTAGTCTCGCTAAAACTAGAGAACGGCTGGACCGATTTGGCTAATTATGCTCTTGAATTATTTGTGGAAGTCCAGAGAAGGTTTAAAAGGTAAAAAAATATGAAAATGCTAGGAATTAAATAAAAATAACAATTTTGTTTTTCCTTTGATGTGTCCCCCGTCGGACGGATTCCTTTTGTTTGTTTTAAGTTTATTTTATACAAAAGTTTAGGTTTTTTATTTATCGATTGAGGCACTACGAAGTCTGCCGGGTCATCTAGTATTACAAAATATATCTCTCTCCTATATAGTTGCAAAAATGTCGCCTAAACTATATAGCCTTTCACCACTCGATATACTCACATTGTATTCCGGAAACAGATTCTCATAGTTGACCGGGTCGGCTAATGACTGACCGGATTTCTTGTTCGTGGCACCAACTGATTCGCGCCACATCTTCACCACTTCGCATATTTTAGACGGAATGTATGATCTGTTCGAAATAATATAATTCATTCATTTCGTTTATCACTTTTTTCACTTACATATTAAGCAGAGGAGAAAATTATAGAATTGCGCTAAGGAAGCTAGATTATGATTTTTACAATATTCTGGTTTGAATTATCAAAGTAATCTATTTTAATTTGCTCAACTATATAATAATCATGTAAAGTCAATAAGACGTCATATTCCATTACGTGGTATACAATTTATTCCTGTTCGCTTTATGATCAAAATACGACCATAATCTTATAATTATTTATGTATTAAATTTTACATTTCTTAAGTACATATTTTTATTGCCTTTTTGGCATACGGGTAATCGATCCACTTAATACTGGCTGTTTATTATTCTAATAAATAGATAATAAAATGCTATTTCATTCTCTGTCTCGCTCTCTTTGTTCCTGGTCATTGAACAAACTAGACGTGTTTTGTGGTGCTCCATTTGTAATATAAATTGTGAAGTTATTACAATAAACTAAGTGTCCACAACCAGTGTATTCTCAATCAGACAATATTCCCAGTGAATTAAAGCAAGTAGATTCAATATTAAACACTGTTTATCCTCCACGCTTTGTACGGTACCTGGCAAAGAATGCGGCTTCGGGCAGCTTATTTCTGGATATGAGAAGCTCAAGACAGCGGTCCAGGTCGTTCAGTGTGAAGTGAGCTACGAACGCGATGTTATCGTCTCCAGATTCACTGGACATTCGTGCCACTTCCTGTAGCAGTGGCTTGTCGCCTGCCGATATAATGTTTGCTTATTTACTTTGTGATAACTAAAATCAGCAGTGTAATTAGATTTAAATATGATTTTAGAACGGAGTTCCTTATGGGACGATGCGGAGGGGTACCCTAATCAGAAAAAAACCTCCGTAACGTAAGATTTTTATTAGTAATGCACACAGTGTACGACTTAACTTTGTAACAACGTACAATTAGTAATGAATACAGTGTAAGACTTAACTTTGTAATAACTTATAAAAAATTACATATTTTTATTATATATTTTTTATAAATCATTGTGAAGAAAATAAAGTTGATAACTTTGTAAAGTAGTTTTTTTATTTATTTTATCAATAAAAAAATTATAATAAAAAATGTATACCCGAATAATTATTTTCTTTATACCTCGAATAGAACTTAAAATTAATATTTTTATAATAAGGAACTTCGTTCCTATCAGGTGTCCCACGATATCACATATTTTTTTTGTCAATTCATCAACAGGTCACATGTTTACCCCAAAAAACATTATATTTTACTTATACAAAAACACGTATGGAGAGCCTACAAATTTATCTAATTACGGTATCTCTTCGAAAGCGAAAACTAATGTATCGATAACATATATGCTTTTGTACTATAGACTCAAAGCAGATATGATGTTAACCATTTAAAGGAACTCATTTAGTGATACCAATAATTTAACTAAAAAAATACCTGTACTCACCAGTGCTAACGGCAAAGAGTAGTAACGCACTGTAATCGTGCGCATTGTGGTAACAAGTTTTGGTAAGTTCAGTTTGGGCTGCAGCAGCGGCGGCGGAACCCAATCTTGACCACCTGGCAGCAGAGGACCTGGACGCCACACCTTCTGCCAGGCCTGCCTCCTCAGCCAGCTGCTTGGCTCGCTCCAGTTCTCCCAACGCTAACGCCAGCTCGAACTGGTGATCCGGCTCCGTGGAAACCGCTAGGGCTTGTTGTTTGAATCCCTGAAGTAATAACGATATCATTAGTGTTTGTTGAAGTAACATTTTGATTAATAAAATGTGTAGTAAAATTTTAAGATCCTAATTTCAGGTCATGATTTTGTGTAAGTATGGTTGTCGCAAAAATGAATTGTCATCTATCTTTTTTTTTTTTTTTTTTTTTTTNATTTGTGGACGAGCTCACAGCCCACCTGGTGTTAAGTGGTTACTGGAGCCCATAGACATCTACAACGTAGATGCGCCACACACCTTGAGATATAGTTCTACAGTATAGTCACAACGGCTGCCCCACCCTTCAAACCGAAACGCATTACTGCTTCACGGCAGAAATAGGCGGGGCGGTGGTACCTACCCGTGCGGACTCACAAGAGGTCCTACCACCAGTAATTACGCAAATTATAATTTTGCGGGTTTGATTTTTATTGCACGATGTTATTCCTTCACCGTGGAAGCCAATCGTGAACATTTGTTGAGTACGTATTTCATTAGAAAAATTGGTACCCGCCTGCGGGATTCGAACACCGGTGCATCGCTAGATACGAATGCACCGGACGTCTTATCCTTTAGGCCACGACGACTTAACTCTCTCTCTTTATCTCTGTAGTCTAAAGTATTTTAATTAATGATTATAAGCGATTTTCTTTTCAAATGGGCAGCCGTATATGCAGCAAATTTATCAGTAACAAATCCCATAACAATATAAAGTCAAACCACATGATTATTTCACAACAGAAATAAGCAGTATGGTGGTAGTAGTTATTGCGAGATTGACTCAATTACACTAATCTATATAGTTATTTTGCTGTATTAATCAGAAAAATGTTACCTGCTTTTCTAAGAAATGTGCGACCCTTGTTCGATGCTCGGTAGGAATTGTGGGTAGGACACGATCGGCAGTCTCAAAATCGCCCCGCATCACTGCTGTCTGGTACTCCAGCACAGATAGTAGTAATGAATAAGAAACAATGTTTAACTCTTTGTCGTTTAGGTATAATCTGGGAATATAAAATTATTATTGTTTACAATCATACATATTAATCGTAAAAAGATTCAGGCTCAATTTCGTATAATAAATTAATGGGTTGTACAAACGTTATCGTCAGGTTTGAGCCCCGTGAGCTCACCTACTAGCCCGGCGACGCTGACATGGTATCTCTACACCATCAGCTTAGGTAGGAAAAAAACCTTAAAGGCCCTAATATATTTGTTTTTAAATAGAGTACCTAAAACCTGATGCAGCTCCATCTACCGGGTTCTAACCTAATCGACGCAGAGACCTACACGAACACAAAAAATATCAAAATTGGTTCATCTGTGTAGGGAGAGTTCTGCGACAAAACATACAGATCTCTTTTGTATATTATATTATACTAGCTGACCCGGCGAACTTTGTTCCACTTGTCGGGAAAGATTCGATCTTCGATTCGACTTGGTCGCGGCATTGTCAATGATTATTCAAAGAGAATAAAAATTACTGATTATTACTGATTATTGATTTCTGACAAAATTAATAAATATCGAAATTTCAACCACACTTCACCATAGGCAAAATTATGTTTAGCTGTAATTTGCGTTTTGTTATTCCATGTCAGTTGAGTTTTTGTTATAACACCTTTTATAGTGACTTGTAATCTCTTTGACGTTTTGTCACGTCACACGAAAACGCGGTCGTATCAAATGTCCGTCTTCTGGTACCTCCCCGCCTCTTTTCAGCAAATCGGTACAGCTCTTCTTGAGTTATAAATAGCGTAACTAATACTAACTTTATTTATATATGAGGCCTATAAAATCAAAGGCAGCTAAACGCCTTAAAATGTAGTAAAATGGATTAACTATGGCGCCATCTTGTTTAGTTAGTTGGACACGCTTTAGTACTTTCATGTTATAACAAATGGAGCTAAATCTCTAGCAAATTCAGTTCAAAATTTTTATTTTTACTCTGTACACAAATATAAACGAAGTTTTATCATTTAAAATTCAGATTATTAGTAATATTCTCATTCTTTATAAATCTGCTTTAAAATAAAGAATATCGTAGCTACCCGAACAAAGTTATTTCAGTTTCTCAAACCAGGAGTGTTGCTAACACTGATCCTAGCAAGAGCAGTACTTCGATGGATCAGGAGGATCCGTAATGACGTGTTTAGGACCGATTTTTGTAGTTTACCTGAATATTTGAATTGGATTTAGCTGCCTTTGATTTTATAGGCCTCATATATAGATTAAGATTTACCTGTTCTCCTTAGCAACGTATCCCAGTATGTACATAGTGTGGTCGAGATGCGCAACCGTTACAATCTCACCGCCGACGTAGTAGTTTATCCTGTTCAGTGTGTTGGTATATATGAAGCAATCTCCGACCCATATGCCTGTCTTCACTGTTTCGTTGACTTCACCAACTACCTGTTGAATGTAAGATATTATTTTACGGTAGGCAGCGATTTGGCTCTGCTCGTGGCATTGCTGAAGTCCATGGGCGACGGTAACCACTCACCATCAGGTGGATTAAAAAAAAAAGAGAAAAAATCTAACATATTCAATTTTGTTTAAATAAATACCTATGTGTATTCTTACATGGAACTCAATTATGAAGAATGTTTTATTTTTCTTAACTTCATTCATAAGCTAAAGTTTAAAGATATGCCGTTAGCTAGAAAAAAAATAAAGAAATTCTACACGTTTGCAATTAGATATTTTATTTTTAAAATTCTGACCATTTCATGAAGGGAAAAAACCCTTTAACTCAACTCAGTAAGCTGTGACTGATTATGTATTTAGCTGTAAGCAGTATACGAGGGTACAAAGACACAATAATGAGAGTTAAAGGAACATTAGTGACTTCTGTATTCAGATATGATGAAAAAAGATTTTGCTAGCGCAGCGACATCTGGCGTAGAAGGGCAGACGAAGATGATCCATTTCGTGTTAAGCTTCAATTGAACTGTAATCATCATCTGACCGCCTTAGTATAATTTATAATTTTGTTACCTCAAACGCATCTTCAATTCCATCCTCAGTAATGTCGGTATTAGTCTCCCTTGCTCTGGTCACCACGGCAGCGTTGTACTTCAGGATGAAGTAAGTTTCATCGGTAGCCAAACACACAAGGTTCCCGCTTTCAGACCAAAACACGTGACGAGGCTGAATCTCAATACTGTTGAACAATCGTTAGTTTAGTGGTATAAAAAGGACATGAGAGACATTGAGCAAATTGTTGTCGCAACAAAAAAATTGTAAACATAACAACTCTTCTTAAAGGCTTTAGAAACATAATTTCTTGTAAACATCTAAATTAGATAGAGATGAGAATCGTACCGTCTGACCAGTTCCAAATGTTCCCAATCGTAGAACGAGAATGCTACTCCGCTGATAGACTTCACGCCGAGCATGTAACCTCCGAATATACCTGAACAAAACACTACAGTATAATCTTACAACGGTAAACAGTATTATTCATTTCGATAATACTTTTAACTTTTACAATCATAAACTAAACTTGAGCATTTTTATTAGATTGTTTCAGTATATTATTTAGAAAATCATGTATTCATACTAGTAGTAAAGAGATTTTTTCATATAAACAAGAAATCAGCTGATATGTGATTTAAAGTAGTTAAATTTGTTGTGCGTAACCATAAAATTATATAAATAACTCCATTCTTGACCCTGTCGACTTTTAAACCCGTTTACAAAATTTAATCACAAAGTAAAATGGAAATAAAAAAATATCGTACTGTTCTCACCTTCAGCACCGTACTCGGGCTTGAAGCTTTTTCTCTCCTTGAAATTCTTGAAGACTTTAACTGAAGATGAATTCTCTAGAGTCGCATACTCTGAGCTGTCGAATGCCCATACAAACTCCTGGGCCGTCCCGAACGCCTTGTTCCTCAGAGCCATCGCGGTGTATATGATGAACTCACCATCACCGCACACCACCACGAATCTACCGTTCGGATTGTGGGCTATCGTTTGTGGGTATATCTCGCAGGAGCCCATGTCTTTAGCAACGACTGGTACACGCTCTCCGTCCTTTATTTCTGTGCCTAAATATTGAAAGAACTGTGTTGCAATGATTGAATTTTTAGCGAATTTTGAATTTTAAACAATACTTCAAAATCAATTTTGTGTTTGTAATGAAAGTTCTGTTGATTCGAGAAAAATAGACAATGCTATTTTATTAGTATTTTATAATTTTATAGGCAGTAAAGAGTATTTGGGGTCTTATCTTGAGTGCCAGCAGAATAAGTATTTAAATATTTCTTTCTCTCTCACACTCATACACACTTTTTCTATCTTTTATTAATGCGTCTTATTACAAGATAAGAAAACTACCAAACTGAACATTTGATTTTAATTTTGCTTTGTTACCTTCAGGGAGAGCCTTCAAGTTGACCTGCTGCAATTCAGAGTGCTTAGCACAGATAATCTTTCCTCCGTTCACGTCCATAGATATAGCAGGCTCTTCTCTGCCCACTTTTATCATTATCGTACCTTCGTCATACCTATCAATAACAAACGTGAAATTAATATTGAGAAAAATAATTAAGTCTCCTACCATTACAACCAGATATTACTTTGATCCAATTTATCGTAATAATGAAACCTACATTTAATTAAAATATAATCGCCAATTGACTAAAATAACTCACATCTTGAGTAATCATCAAGAAACTCACCCTACAGCGACGTTGTTCGAACCGTGCATGGTGGATATCGTCCATACTCTTTCGAAACCATAATTTAGGGAAGACTTGAGCCTGTAGGTGCCTGCGTGCCATATTCTGAGGGTGCCGTCTTCAGAACCGGTTAGCAGGATCGGAAGCTCGGGGTGGAATGATACTGCTGATACATTCTGAACATGACCTGTCCAAGAATGAGATAAGTTATGTTTGCGTATTTAGGCCCCATCCCAACCCGATGACATTCTGTCGTCTACTTCTCGTAATAAGTCCCAGGAATATATATTTTTATTTGATTTTTTTAAAGCTCGGATTAAATCAATGCAGGACTAAGAAACGCACAATCTTCTATCAAAACTTACCTTCCAATGTTTGTACACATGTCTTATTTTGGTAATCCCATATTTTGACGAGCCTGTCATCAGCTCCACTGATGAGGTAGGGCTTGTCACCGCCATGATAATAGTCCACGCAGTTGACGCCTTTCTCGTGACCTTCTAAAGTGAAGTTCGATATAGAAGCACCAAGTTGCCAAACCTAAAAATAGTACGATAAACATTAAGAAAGTTCAACTATTTTAGACATCGTTACGTGAATGTTGTCCCTTTATGGATACCTTCAGACATGAGGTCAAGGCCCCCATTACATTGTGTAAAAGCTAATTATTTCACCCTTCAAACTAGATGGCATGTCTGCTTCGCGGCAGGATGAGACAGGTTCGTGGTACCTACACATGCGAGCTAACACTCCTCACCATCAGTTTCAGTGCTCATTGCCCATAATCCATTCATCATTCAGAGTCCATGGTTAACCACGAAACCGATACCATCTCTCATGTCCTAAAGTACGCGGCAACATTCTCGTTGTAAGCACTAATTACCACAAGAGCTTTATCGCCTTTACTGATCTATGTCAACAAGAGAAAGGATCTTAACGCAGTTGGCGTCAATACGTCGCCATTATTCCTACCTTCACAGTAGTGTCGAGACTTGCGCTTGCGAAGGTATTGTTATCCTTCGGGTTGATAACGATCTGCATTACGTAATGCGTATGCCCTTCGAATACTTGCTGACATGTCCAATTACGGTCCCAGTTCCACAATTTGATTAGGAGATCATCTGAAATATTGTGTTTATTTGATACTGTATTTTTTCTAAATTCTCTTTGTCAATATGCAGTATGTAATGCTTGATAAGCCTAAGTCATTCCAAGCTCATCATATTTTTTCTCTCTGTTCCTTTCCGTGTAGTAAAATTAGATACAGATCAGAAACCCCTACAATTATTTTCAATAGTTCAAACTATCTTATATCTTACAAGCTACAATTAAAATTAAATATTCCTCAAGTTCATTTAACAGCTTTAAAATAAAACCCAAGGTTTTGTAGACTTCATCGGACAAACATACTTATATATTATTAAGCTAAATAAAATAAATCAAACCAAGTAAAACAGAATTTGTGATTGTTTTTATGCAAATTGTAGACAAGTACATCTATTTCTTTCAAGTACTCACCACTGCAAGTCAATATGTACGGTTGTGTGGGATGAACGGCTATGCATCGCACATAATCCGAATGTGCTTCAAATGAGTGAACCCTCTCCAGGGTGTTGTAGTTGAATACACGTATCTGCATGTCATCTGAGCCAGTTATCACCCAGTTCTTCCGGGGAACAAACTTTGCTGATCTCACCGGGAGATCACATACCTGTTTAAAATAAAACGAATTATTATAAAATTTACTATGTATTGTAATTGGAGGCATTTTGGTTTACTTACAGAATGATGTTTACTCTAATTTAATTTATACGGAGAGTATAAAGCACAGAATTCATTTGAAAATACAAAAAAAAATGTATTCTTAGAAACATGATTTTCAATCACGTTATTTTTTAAGTAATTACTGATGAAGATTAAAACATAGAACAGTAGTTATCCCATGGCAATTGTACTCTGCAATACTCCAACATCATATTTCAAGGTTGAAGACAGTGTATAGGCTCAATCTCTTGACAACCCTCTAATACAGTCAATCAATCAATTGATGGACAGTATATTGATATGTATTGATAGTACAATGAACATATGCACCAAATATTTGCTTTAATAAAAGTCATATGATCAATTCATTTAAATAAGGTATCTATCTGACTTTAATTATTAAATATCCAATAGTGTCATAGAATTCAACTCAATTGTACAATTGTTGTGTGTATGTGTTTTGCTACAAAATGCTTGGTTATTTTAGGTAAAAGTACTGGAAAACAAAGCACTCTCAAGTATTACAAATGAGCAGCCATTTATGTTCGTATCATTAAGAAAATAAAAACAAAAACACAATTTCTCATCTTTATTAAAGATTACTGGAAAATCAAATTATCCGATGAATGCTTAAGCAATGAATGAGATAACATTGACAGTAGAACAATGTTAAATACAGCTGTTGTCCCTATCATTAACAATATAAAAACTTTGCCACATACAAGGAGTCTATTCTTGGACACACTTTAAAGCTACTTAAGTAGCAATTACTGAATAGATGTGTATCAATTTTCTGGTAAAATATATTATAAGCCTGTATGAATAGGTACCGCTGTTCCCATTTTTACTGATTGGAAGTCATGTGATTCAATTTAAATGGAGACTTCGCATAGTTATTGGGAGCGTTCACCTGGTGATGTCTATGGACTCTGTTAACTAATTTTGTCTTAGTGGACTGTGACCTCATTGTGTGACCATCTACGCAATAAAAAAGATATGCTAAGAACAAAGTTGACTGTAGGTAAACATTAACTATTAAATTATGTGAACCTTTCATAACACATTCAGAGAGTATAATGTAACTGAGTTTCAGTTCACTGACTCAAATGCTTTTATTGGCATAAATCAATATGCTATCAATTAATTAATGGTGTTTTGAAATTTGTTGTTACTTATGATTCTCTATTGCTATAATCTTAGATAGCTATAATCTAAGAATCAAAGCTTATATGCTAAAAAGCATGTTTATGTGCAAGTTTTCCATGATTTATTTCATAATATTACATATTTAATAATGATGGATTTCTTTCAATTCAATGAGTACTTTCAATGGTGAAACTGTCATCATTCAGGTTCATAATTAATAGTAGTTGGAACCGATTCTAATATATATGATTAATCTATAATTCATCCATCATGACAAATAATGAATATTCTTGATATCTTTTATTAGAAAACTATTTAATTTTACTTCAGTTTTTTTTTGTGTCGCTGCTGCTATTGTTGAACAGTTTTACGTTTAATTTTTGTGCAAGAACCAAACTACAGAGGAGCTGAAATGAAGTTATAATCATCAAAACCTAAATGAGATGCCTCTGGTAATAATTTCAAGAGATACAAGTGTTCTGATGTTCAAATATCACAGGCAAGTATGAATTTTTGTCGAGCTATTAATATTTATCACTTCCATGAGGGAATATCATCACTATTAATATCAGGTGGGGAGTCAATGAGACCTACTCAGATTAGTGGTGACTATCCCAAAATATTAAATGTCTTCATTGAGGCTCAAATACAGCATCAACCATAATATTACCTTACTTGGACCAATATTCATTACCTTCTTGGTACAGAGAATGCACTCTTCAAGCAGTACCTTTTGCAACCTAAGCTGAAAGCATCTTGGGTGTACTAGTTATCAAATCATATCAACAGGGCTTTTGCATGCAGTTTCGTACTGTTGACCAGAGAAAATATAAATACTTTAGATGTAAATTCACTGTGGAGGTTTTTGATGGCAGAGCTTAATACAATGTACATCTTAATCTGGGAAAACTAACAATTTCTGTCAGGCTAATGAATATTTTGGCCTTGAGTGGCTATATATTCCAGATTATTTTTGAGCTATGAGAAAATAATAATATTGAGTAACAAAGATCCATAGTCATAAATTAATGTAATTACTTACTACTACTAGTGGTAGTATACTGTAGGTCCATCCAAGTAACTGTCACCATTCTACCTATTTCTACAGCAAAGCAAATATGGATTCTCTTTCGAAAGGCAGAACATTTATTACAATTGACCTCACTCATGGTGGACGGAATTGTGAACTACACTGGTTGTCTATTACTATTAGAGCAGTATTTCTGAATACTCTTATCTGACACAAGGCAGGAATAAACTCCAGTCTAAACAGTGAGTAACTATTTTGAAACAAGTGAGAAACATTAATAGCCAAAACCATCCAGGACAATAAAAATTATACTAGTCAGAAAAAAAGAGGTGCATGGCTAATTTAAATCATTCAAGTGTGAATCACTACATACTTTAGAAGAAATTTTATAATGGTAATTAAATAATTTAATTTTCATTACAAAGAACATTCCATTAGATATATCTTATTCACATTTTAGAATTTAACTGACTATTTTTTATATAATTTTGCATATATTTAGAACATATTATTATTATCTCTAACAAACAGTCATAGCTTTTAAAATAAATAAATTCCATGTAATATTTTTATTTCAGTCACTGTTTAACAGATAAAACTTAATTGTTTTGTAATGTAAAGATAACAGAGAAATATATATTTATTATCAGGTTACTTAGGGAAAATATTTTTAACACATTAAGTTTGAATAAGAAATCAGTTTCATAGAAACAGGAGTCCAGATTACGTTCAGAATAGTAAATAATTATGTTTTTATTGTTTGTTTATGGTGAATTTCTTATTTATTGTATTATTCAAGGAAATTGCACAAAAATATGTTGTGATTATGAATAAAGATCATATTTACATAAAATACCTTACAAAATAAATTATAAGTTTTAACTTCGCGTCTTTCAAGACTTGCAATGTGGTGAATGAAATCATGATAAGGACCCTTCATTTGTTTTATAAATGAAATATTATAATATTGATTATCTATGGGAGGAAATTAAATTGGCTATAGCCATATATTGTAGATCAAAGTTCTATGTAATTATCTTAAATTAGAGCTAGCTTAGCAGTGAGTGGCAGTAAAATTATAAAATTTTACAGACACAGATACTTTTTAATACACTTTTCTTAGAAGTACTAGAAGATTAAATCGGCTACAGTTTCATTTCGCATTTAATGTTTAAGTACTATGGTTTCAAAACAGTACAGTTGTTTTCGAAAATAAGCTACGAATTTGAGTTTTGTAAAATTATTTTGAAACCAAAATACTATATTGTATTAATATATTGTACATAAACTGACCTCAAATCTCTTAATTTGAGCGTGAGTCTCATAATTCCATATGTTAACGTCTCCTGAATACAGGGAGCAGAGCAGCCAGGGTTCCGACGGGTGCTGGTCGACGCATTTCACTCGGTCCGACCGCGCCGTCAGCTTCCTCTTGATATCCAGACGCAGAGGCTTCAGAAACATAGCGATACCACGTTATAAATGCACTCAACACATGAAACTACCCTTAATTACAAATGAATTTTTGCATCGCGCAAGTGCCGACATTACAAAGATGACAAAGTGATGACGACTGCGCATTACGTGGCTTTAACTTTTTCGAAAATCTTGTCTTTGGAATATCGATCACTTAAACGCATTTCAGTGTAAAAATTGTTTTCTTACCATTTTTAATGGTTAAAACATGAAAATCGTCATGCAGATTTACAGGACCAGTAGATGTTTGACAGGGTGGGTGGACGTGTCACTTTAGATTTATTCAAAACCGGTTTTATCGGATACGCGAAATTATTACGATTTAGCGGTTAAGTACGGCTTTCGCATCCCAACGAGACATTTTAAGCCATACGAAATTAAAAATTGCAAAGAATAAAATTTTATCTACAAAACTGAAAATAAAATGTAATAAAAAGTTTAATACTACAAAATCTATGTTTCTATGTTTGTTTTTTTTTTTATAACATCTTCATCACAGATCAGTAATATGACCTCCATTTTCTTTCTAGATTTTAATAGTTCAACAAGAAACGTCTGTTTCTAGTGAAATTAATATTAATTACATTTAACTAAATTTTGAAATTGAGAGGTTATTATCTTCTTTTTTAGAAGGTAAATTTATACTCATAAATTACGTAACGTAAATAAGAATAATTGCTAAACAATAAAAATAATCATACTATTCGCCGTCCACTCCTTACCAAAGCATAAAATAATAGTCGTGATAACATTCTTTCGGATGTTCTGGTTTGGAAAATAAGTACGTGAATTTGGTCATTTTACTTCCTGTTACATTATCTCCCCATAAAAACAGTTTAAAGGAAAATTCTCTCATATGGGTTTTTACTCTTCCAGTACAAAATTGTTCAAAATAGAAGGAAGATTGCTTCCTAACAATGGCCAAAAAATTTCAGGAACGCAGTTTCCAAACAGATTGAGATTGGTTATAGAAATTAATGAAAAAGTTATGAGAAGTCGTAAATCATAAAGATATAAATATTATGTATGGTTATTATAGTACCTAAGAGAAAAAAAAATACGTTTGTTATGAAATCTATATTTTAAAAATCGCATATTATTAATAATAATAAAACCTTTGCCTTTCCTTTTTAATTTAGAAGTTGTGCTACAGTAACGCCATTTTTAAATGACTTCATTTGACAAACACAATCGTGGACTGAATTAATAAATTTAATACAAAGTAAATACTCTGCTTCCATGGTGGCACCTTCTTCGTGCCGTCCCTCTTACTGGTGTTAGCGCGTATCATGACCACGAGTTTAAAATACTTTTGTCTCATAGCTCATGTTGGGCACCGGGTTCACATAAATAAGGCACCTATTAGGACATTCTGGTGGTAGGACGTCTTATGAGTTCGCACGGGTAGGCACCACCACCTTGTCTATTTCTGCCGTGAAGCAGTAATGCGTTTCGGTTTGAAGGGTGGGGCAGCCGTTGTACTTTTAAAGTGAGACCTTACAACTCATGTCCCAAGGTGGGTTGCACGTGGGGGCATTTACGTTGTAACATCTAGGGGCTCCGGCCACCACTTAAAATCAGTTGGGCCGTGAGCTCGTTCACCCAACGAAGCAATAAATAAAAATTCAAACGCTACGCTAACGTCAATGGGTTGCAGATATCACTAACAATGTCCTATCCATTAGCCTGTTTGTATTTATACCGCGCAGAGATGAGCGCCGATTATAGTAGAGCGGTGCTGTCTTGAGACTAAAAATTTTCCACTGAATTTCTCGTCGATCTTCTCAGTGGGTCGCGTTTCCGATCCGGTAGCAGATTCTCCGAAGCACTGCTCTTGCTAGGACTAGTGTTAGCAACAATTCCGGTTGGAACCCCGTGAGCGCTCACCTACACGTCAAGGAGAAGCTAAAATAGCCTCTCAAGGCTATCATAAGAAAAAAAAGACTAAAAACTAATACATATAGCACGGTAAGCAATAAAAGGAAAACGTGTAAAATAGACGTAGTGGGGAAAATGTTGTGGAGTGCACGATGCTACACGCGTGTAAAACTGACCCTATGATTTACAAAATTATATCATAACAATTATATTATCTATGTTTGGGCGTGAAACAGGCCACAAAATGATAATAAAATGAAATAACACACAAATGAAACTAGTTGTTTGTATTTCATATTTATATAATTATCTAAAAATATGAATAAACATCATTTTAGTTTTCAACTAATTTAAGTAATGAAAGCATGGAAACATATTTTTGGCTAAACTATACACCACAGAGCCCCAAGTCTTGTAATATTTGGCATATTTATACATTTGAATAGGCTTTTTGAGACATTCACCAACAGTTCATTATAATATTGAACATTATGTTCCTTTAATAATCCAGTCTTTTTATTTTTCAAAGTTTATACATTTTCTGAATTGGGTCTTTGGGTATGTGAACTTATGTTTAGCATAGCATTATTTCTCAACCTTCCATGATAACTAAGTTTGTCATGTAATTCCACATGTTTAAAGAAAAAACAATAATTTAATGAAAACATGTTGTACTTTATATATTAAGTATATGTGGACTTATAGAGCCCGTCATTTTCATGTTAGTAATTATTTTACACAATGTTACCAAAGTCAAAAAAAATAGACAGTACCATAATACAAACTTACGTTCTAAGATTTCTTATAAAAGGTTAATAATTACTCTGAAAAAAATGTAATGAAATCGTTACAAATTAGAAATATTATTTTATTTTAATGTCATATCTATTTAGTAGTAATGCACAGTAAGCAACTTCTTTTAATATACTTTTATTCTAAATTGGTCAATTATTTAGTGTATTATAAATAACTATTAGGTGGCAATTAACAGGATGTATTGACTTTTTATTATTTTTATCCTGTTTAAGAACAAATTAGTGAAGATTTCAAATTTTATCTATTACGTTTCTTCAGTCTTCATAGCACATAATTATAAGGTTAATAGTTTGATAGTTTATTAAGTTGCCAAGATTTTATTGAACAACCTATTATATGAAAACTATATATAATTTAAATGACAATGTATGTTAATTCGATAATAATCTTTAACCCACTTTTTCAATGTTCATTGATACTGGAAAGAAATATGACAAAATAAGTACAACTAGACTCTGTCAACACTTCTTCAACAATGATAGATTCAGACCAGACATTAGTCGACTTTGTGGTAAGTGGTGGTGGTGGAAGGTGAATCTAAAATGTTAAAGTTGTTCAGGTCTACATATATACGATAGTAATGTATAAAAAAATAATTACAGAGCCAGCACAGTGACCCAAAACAAGTGATCGCATATAATCAGTAATGAATCCACCACATTTTGAGAATCACTATTTTCTCAAAATTGTTATTCAATAACTAACAAATGTAGAATCTTTTATTTTCTGACTATGCTGCGCGACATATGTATTCATGACATACATTGCCAAGAGATTTATCAACAGCACTGAAATAATAGCCACAATAGTAAGGCGTCTAAGCAACCAACCAATACACAATTTACTAATTACAAAAAGATGTACAAAAAAGTTGCTAATTTAAATTGACTATTTACATTGTTTAAATTTATTTAATATATTATGAACTTAAATAAAGCACCATTACAAAAAAAGTCACAATGCAGGGGTATCGTTTTTAAATTAATTAAAAAGTAAAAATGTAACTATATTTATATAAAACTAACTATCGCAAATTATGTACGAAATAGCATTTTCCTTGCTTGAAACTTTACAAATTTAATGACAAAAAAAATCTACAAAATCGGAAAGAGAGATCAGCTACTAGTAGAAACACTTCCCAGTCTCATACGCCAATGGTTTACAATGAAATTATCATTACTATTATTAACTGAATCTTATGTGTATAATAATTATGGGTATTAACATTATTAAAATATCAAAGCATCGCAAAAGTATATAAAAGTTCAAGAAGAAAATTGGAATGTAGAACATAGAAATATTTACATTTTTCGTACAACTTAAACACAGACTTTGGTCACATTTGTTGCGACATCACGCGCCGAACATTCCTAATTGAAAAAATATATATTTTACTTTTAAATCAATTCTCATTCAATTTCATTCAATTCTATTTCATTATCAACTACTATCAAATTCTCAAAGTTTAATTATGTTTCAATTGCGAATCATATTTATTTGTGTGTTAGTGTTCTAATTTCGTTTCAAATATTATTAAATTAAAATAGGACAGACTGTGGCAACTTACATTACTATTACTTCCATTAGATCAATATCTTCACAGTTGAATGAACAACTGATTGGATTGGAAGATCATATTATTATTAGTGTTTCTTGGAACATTAAGTAAAGTATGGTAAGCCGCAAGTTGAACCCTTTTATTGGTTAGCTAATTGATTATAGCTCATTGATCATATTTGATCATAGCGAAATTACCCTTATAGGTACTTAATAATAAAAAACAATATTGTTTTATTACTTACGCATTTTTGGATACCTACCAAAGAATGTACTATTTACAAAGATCTCTTACAAAAATTTAAAATGAGCAGTACATATAAATATATATCGTACGATTCGATAACGGCTCCAACGATTAGGATCAATATTGTATAAAGTCCACAGCTTTCTTCGGTTTTCACAACTCATAAAGATAATTAAGTACTACTTTTGTTTTAATTCTGCCTTTTTTACGTGTGATAACTAGACGGTAAACAGAAAACCTGTCAAGCATTCGAAAGATCAGATTAGATAAGTTTTATAGTGTATTTGTTTAAACATTTAAGTAATCAATGGAGCCCCCCTCGTCCTTTAGAAGATATGCGATTAATTATTTCTTAAAAATGTACAATCGTAACTTAGCCTATATCTCTATTAAGATTGGTGTTAATCATTTTTAGATTGTAGTATTATAGTAATAATTGACTTTATGGAACATGCAACGAGATCATAATAATCATTTAATCAATAACATGTTACTTTATATTCAAAGTATAAAACTTGGGCAGGCATTTGATACTTTTTAATTTCCTTACATTCGATAAACAAGTAGTATATTAACATGAAAACTTTAATATAAATATGAAGCACATTTTTTATCTCAAAAGCTAAAAACGTCTGTAATAGATATAAAAAACCATTTATTTAATTATTTAGGATTGTCCGTTAAAGAACGATTTTAAGTCACGACGGTTTGCTCAACATCTCACTCAACATGGTCACAGATGAAATTATTACATAAGATACTTTAATACGAGCTGCAAAAGTTCTACTTACTAGATATTTTATGAATAAAATATATTTACGTGAGAAATGTGTAACATCGAAATGTTCGAATACGGAAACTGGATGTAACCGGTAGGATTTCATTCAAATTACTGAGCAACTATCAGAAGTATGATGATACCAAACTGTTTGCCTTACCTACCAAAAAGGGTAGACAATAGTAAACAAAATCATTATTGACATTAGAAACCTACATAAAATTTTGATGACGCAATTTAGGGCACAGAGTTTTGGTGAGTTTCAACTTGTATTTATATAAAAAAATATTGTGATTTTCTTACACAGCACAATAACTTGTAGAATGTTCAATTACTAGATATTGTGTCGAGACCAACCTTGTGAGGAACATCTCATTGATAAAGTATTTTATCAATTTTAGTAAAAACTAACTATGATATTAATAACACCTATTATATAAAATACATATTCTTATTTCTTACATTTTGTACCTAAAGTTTGACAGAGTGCTGTTTACTTTAAAACAAAAATGATAATTAAACGGTGAATATGTGTGATACGCAAATAAACTTTGTTCATGGAACCTAAGTATCAAACTATATAAATCGTCTATTAATAAACAGTTTTAAATATTTTATTATTTTTAATATATGCAAAAGCTTAAATAAATAATTCAACTCTATTTTACCTTTTGAAACTTTATTTATAAGTTCCATTTTGTATAACTTACCTAATATTGCTTTGATCTTATATTTTCAGTCTTGATAATACTTCATCCAGATTAAGGCTACATGACATCGTTTAAATGTTGTACAATTCAATTTCGTACTATTATTTATTGTATAAATTCCAACGTTTCAAAAACTAATTTTCGTATTAGTAGTGAAAGACAGTCAGTCTCATGCTTCGAATAATTTTAAAATGAATATTATAAACCGAGCAAAGCTAAAAAATGGAAATCTCAATAGAGCTGTTGAGTATGCATTTTACGAAGTTAATTCTGCTGTGACCTATTTAACATACAAAGAATTAACCAGCAGTCGAATATCTCATCGAAATTTAGTCAAATTTAAAAGTTAATAGCTATCTATTTACACTAATCATTTAACTTCACCAATTGGGTTTGAAACATTGCTGGATAGCTTTATGCCGGAACCACACTGCGCTATTTATTATGCGGGTTATTCATGCGCATACGGCGAAGTATGGAGAGTATATTCGCCAATATTCTCTTTATTCGTACGCTTTATTCGGAAGAGGTCGACCGAAAGACATGGATGGAGTGTGTGAATGACGATATGAGAGATAGAGGAGTGAGTGTTGAGATGATGGCTGATAGAAGAGAATGGCCGAGAAATATTAGCTGGGCCGACCCCACCTAGTGGGATAAGGTGGAGAAAAAAAGATAGCACTTAAGCACGAATAGCAAATATGCGTATCCGTCGACTTGTCGGTTTTTTTGACACACTTCAAAGGACACGAACAAGGCGAATATGCGCATCGACTACCCACACGTCGGTGAGTCATTTACACGCTTGCGGCGGTCGGGTATCGACGTGTCTTATGACTTGTAAACGTCCAACAGCGTTTTCTTTTCGGTCTTTTAGTAACTTTGTACTTGCACAACAAGTACTGGTAAGAAGCATTTAGATAATAATAAATTGCAGCAACTCTCAACACGTCCATCGCTCCACGCCAATAACGAACATATTTGCCTTATTTGGCATAATTCAGCGCACAAGTTATAAAGTGTGGATGGCATGTTTTTGTTTGCGCGCATAAATATTATGGCGAATACGGCGTAGTCACATAACGAATAGCACATAACGCAGTGTGGTTCCGGCTTTAGAATAATATTGTATGCGTTTTTTACCTTCTCCAACATTCATAGATTTTGATTTGTCTTTAGCGTTCTTATGTCGTTTCAACGTTTATTGAATATTTTTTTATCATCATCATCATCATCATCATTCTTTCCTATTACCCTCTGCTGGGGTGTAGGGCTCGAATCAAATTTTTCCATTTACATCGGTTTTGGGCAGTGTGTTCTAGCTCCTCCCACGTTATGCCCTTAATTATAAATTATAATTCACGAGTCTATGTCTATTATCTGTCCCCTTTCTCTGTACGCTTCTTAATATTTTAAATATTCTTAATTGTATTCAGAGTGGTGCATAAGTTCTTAGCTACTATAGTTGGACTGATAAACAATAAATAGTTAATGGCTTTTTAGTAACTTGAGAGTCCCCCTGTGGACTTTAGTTTTGTCATTAATTATTATTGTCATCAATATTACCTCTTAAAATAAGAGTACGTATAATTTATTACATAATGGCTGTGCCATCTTTGAAACCAGTACACATAATTCTCAGGTTACACATCTCAGGTTATTCCTTCATCATGTAAGTCATTCGTGAACATAGGTTCAGTAAGTATATCATTACAAACATTGTTAAACGCCTGCGGGATTTGAATTCCGACACAATCGCATCGCTCGATAATAGTGCATCAGATGTCTTATCCTTTAAGCCACGACGACCACAAGTTGCTTTTTTCCACTCCGACACGCTTCCTTATATCCTCGATATGTCATTTGTTATATCTATTACCTGAATACTCCTAACTAATCAGTTATATATAATTTAAGGAGCCCGAAAGTTCACAATTTTAGAATAAGTTATTCTGGTACTCTTTCCTTCGAGAGGCAACTTATTCTGAAAGGTGATCATAATCATTACCAAGACAGTCACTGCGCTGCTCTTAGCCCAATATCTTCTTAGTCTCAATACATGTCGTAACGCTTATAACAACTATACTTTCCATCAATTCTACCAGAGTTCTATGTTATTATTAAAACAATCACTTTATTTGTCATACCGTGCATATCGACCAAAATCGGTTCATCAAACGACTGTTTAATGTATTGAATGGCTCAAGTTTAACCATCATGTAGTTATTATTGTATATCAATTAAATTTTTATATAACATCAACAAGGACTCCATACAATAAAAATCGAGTTCCAAGGCATTTTGACTTTGTACGAAAGACGAATGATAAACCTACCTGCTGCATTATTCGTTGCACATGTTTTCAAATTTATGAATCAGTTATTATTCAACAAGTTACGCATAGTCACCGTTTAACTAGAATCATTATTAAGGCTTGCTTCAAATACAACATCACGACGGTATTAAGTCAATATTTGAATACTCATTAGTCTCGGCCATCTAAGACGCAGCATTTGTTGTATACTGTTGTACACAATGATACAGCATTGTAACAAATCAGGATACTATAACAAAACGCTTTCATCATTCCATTGGTATGAACATTATTCTCCAATTCATTCGGTCAGCATCAGGAATAACTTTACTGCGTTTAAATTTTTAGACAGTTCTCACGTGTAACACTTTCGGTGCACACGTACGCTACAGTAGGAGCGTGACGTTTTCAATCATCGTATCTGGTCGCGAGCCAGTCGATGTAACGGTCGACGTCGCTCCTAGTGTAGGTTTCGGCCGCGGGTCACTTCAAGTAGCTCTTGTAAAGCAACAACGATCGGCAGGTGTCTCTCTCTTGCTCGAGCAGGAATAGCATGTCACGGTGATTGATGCGCTTCAGACGAGTCCGGAGGGCTAGTTGACTTCGGCCAGGCTGAAAAAAAAAAACGTTTCTCATTATTATATTGCAATAACTAGTATTATAAACTTCAAATGGCTATATAGTATTGTAGTTAAGTTTAATTTTTTTTTCCTAAGCTGAGAGCCTTGAGAGGCTATTTCAGCGTAACCTTAACTAGTAGGTGAGCTCACGGGGCTCAAACCTGACGGCGTTGCTAACACGAACCCAAGGAAGAGCCTTGCTTCGCAGAATCTACCACCGGATCTTAAGTTTGAAAGGCAATGGATCAAACTAACAGTTCCACATGGTATGTGATAACCACAATACACTACATTTAAATACTTGTAAAGTTTCAATACAATACTACTCACAAATCCAGTAGTCTGCGGTCCAGGAGTGGCTGTGTCTCCGGAGGCGCCTGGTGCTTCTAGTCTTGGTTTCTTTCGCGGTCCAATAGCTTGTAAAGCGGTCAAGTTGGCTTCCCTTTGACGAAGCTCCTCCAACTCGGCACGTTGCATTTCTTTCGCCTTTATTATAAAAATGATTTTCAGAAAATACGAATCTTAATCATTATAAAAATATCCCTCACAAGACTTGACACAACACAAAAAGACACGAAACAACAGTATGTATTTCAGAAATCCCAAGTACAGGTCTGCCCTATCATTAAGCACTATGTTTTGCTGTTGTTACATTATTTTTTGTTATAATTTTTTCATTCATTTTATGGGTAGTAAAAATTCAATCTATTGTATTTTCTTACTCATATACAATATACTCAAACAACTGCTGTGAACTACTCAACAATAACTTATTAATACAATTATATCCACAATGATCACACACTATTATCTCTACTAAACCTGGCATATAAAACAAAATTGCAATTGTAATTATTTTCTGAGATAAACTTGTAAACTAACTATCAACTTAATATATATTGAATAACTATTTTCTGAGAATAAGGTCTCATACCTTAGCCTTCAATTTCGCCTGTTCGGGATCCTCGTTCTTCGATCGAGACTTGGCAGCCCTAAGAAGCATTTCCCTCTCTGAGTCTTCCCTGCGTTTCTTGTCGACCCGGTCCAATTCTTCTAGAAACTTAAGTTGGCCCTTTACATCTTGAGTCACTTCATAACGGCTATCAGACTGTTGAAAAACATGCCATTTTAACAATAATAAATAGTTGATGGCAAATCACACACAATCACCGAGCCTCAAGCTAATATATTGTATATTATATATTTACAATTTTGTATATTGTGCATTATACTGTGTCACAAATGAAACAAAGATTTTATTTTTTTAAACATTTGCTTGTTATCTCAAAATAACGATTCTAATTTATAAATTGCAAAAAAATGCATTTTAAATGTAACCTAGACAATAATTTCCAGTATTGTGAAGTAAAATCAAATATGGTTGCTTTAATAAACAAATATCATGCAAGCAATACTATTTAATAACAAAAGGCCAAGCATAATTAAACAAAAAATTCGCAAATAAATAGAATTAAAATCATTGTTAGAAGTTCATATACATATTTGGGGTATTTTATTTATAGTATAATATTTTAAATATTCACGAGACTCTTCTAAATGCCCCCGGTTCCCATGACAATAAGGTTGACACAGCTTGCAACCACTCTTGTTCACATTACTTTTTTATAATAAAAAAATAATAATTAAATATAGTGACGAGCCTTATCTCAAAACTGTGACCTCTCACATGAGAAACGCCAATTTAATACTGATTTATTGAAGAATTTAGAATTAAGAAAAAATAAGTTTTTTTGTTCACTTTTGGATAATTTCCTGATGGGAACATGCAAAGGGCTGCGTTATGTTACGAAGTATTATTTTTATAAACTTTTTGAATTTTAATTTTATAAATATTGATAAAATCCACGGGTTTAAAAATGGAGTAATGCAGATTTTATGAAAATTTTATTATATTTTTATTTGTAAGGATTGTAATTTGTTTAGATAACGAGTATTACTTTTTTCAATGAACAGAGTAGTACAAGCTTGAGACCTGATCAAAAACGTTGAATCGCTTAGCAATAAATAAAAAATAAACCCAGTTGCAATCAAAGAGGGAAGAGCAAAATAATAATTTGATTTTTTATTTGTATCAACAGAAATAATGAAATAATTAGTTAATAATGCAACTAGTAGAAACGTTTCATAGAAAAAATAAAATGATGTAAAATAAAAAAATCGCATCAGCAATGAAAAAAAAATCGCTTAGTAACAATCGCTTCAGTATAAATTTTAGAGCTTATGCAAAATTACAGTGAGCCAAACTAACTATACTTGAACTTGTATGTAAGATAATAAAATAATATTAAGAGGATACATATTTTGTCAAGAAAACTATTCCCCTTATTGCTTATCTTTATAGATACGTTAGTGAAACAGATGTTTAGGTAAAGTGCTATGAACAGTAAGCTGCCTGAAGTCTAAGATTGGCAAATCAGGAGATTAATCAATAGTAGAGTTTATTAGTGACTAAGCTAAGGATGCTATTATTAAAGTACCAGTTGTTTGAGGCACTTATTTGACGGTAATCGGAGAATAATAGTTATTTATTAAGATTTACGCTCCTTCTGAATATACAGAAGGAAATATATTTTGAGATTCGGCAGCGGGTTCCAGTTGAGGTTTCACGCGGAGCCGGTTTTGAATTTTCTCACCTTTATAAAATGATCGATTCTGTGCTGAGCTATCACAGCTAGTTTCTCGATAAGATTTTTAAGTCTCTCCTGTACTGCATGACTGATGAGGGCTGCCACTTCCCCCGTCGGCTCGTCGAGATTGTGTCGTGCTATTATGGCTTTAACCCTGGCTTGCATCACGCTCGTCGGCACTAAATATTCATCTTTGCACGATCTGTTGGAATGGATCCAATCATCCAAACATCCAAATTTTGCGATTACAAATTTGAACGTTATTGGATATGAAAACAGGTTAGTAAAGTGTAAGATTTACTGAGATGTCATTTACCTTCTAGCAAGCAGTGGTAAAGACGCATCGTAGGACACCTTACTTATCAAAATTCGACATGTACCTAGAGATCAGAAGTTAATGATCATAGTCTATCCAGTTACAAATCGGGAGAGACGGTGTATTAATCCGGTTTCATCAAACGATTATTATATTCTCTATAATCTCTGCTTCTTAATATTTTATTCGTTTATTTGCTACTCTCAAAGTAGGCTGCGGTATTCAAAATGATATCTATAGTTCCCGATAATTAATTAACACCAAGTGAGCTATGAGCTCAACACTCTATCTACAGCAAGGCTTTGACTTTTTAGCACAAATTAAGAACCTCATCAATGATAATTTAAGTTTATAGTCATAGATTAAAGTATTGTTTGTTTATGATAATCACCTAATCTGAGTTCCGATCATCTCCGTGGAGCCGAGAATCCTCTGCGACTCCTCCGCCAAGTTGACTCCACCCATGGCCGCTACGTCATTGATGTCGTCATCGCCAGCCATCTTGTCGTCGGTGAACGGTTGCGAATAACTAGAAGATTTCTTCTCCTTATCTTTCAGAAGCGACTTGCCAGGAGTCAGTACGGTTGATAAAGCAGCTGAAGGCAATTGGCCTCTCGGGAAGGCGCCCTTGTTGTTCAACTGCATCGACTTGCCGCTACTGACTTTGCTAACGTTGATCTTGGTGTGCACAGGAATGTTCTGTAGAACCGCTATCGTACTGCCCGGTTTCGATGGTGGTTTTTGCTGCTGAATATTTAATTTACAGATCAATTTATAGTTGTCAACCCGAGTAAGCATGCAATTATCCAAACGTGCCTAGCAAATTGAAGACATTCAATTTTAATGACAGATCGAAAGTTTGACAGTTTTTTGGTTAAATAAACTATTTAATTTTTTGGTATAAAAAGTTCATAATTGTTATATTATAAAACAGGCATGTTATAATAGGATAAGTTAGGAATGCCCATCAAAATTGCTCGTCAGTGAAAATAAATACCGAGACGGAAATACTGTATAAATATAAAAGATGTCAGTTGATCCAAAGATTTTAGTTTTTTCGTAAAAAAACGAACTAGCTATTATAGTCTAGGTTTTAACGATATTTCTAAAAATAACATTGATAAAAGACCAAAATGACAATAACGGACGACCACTGTACAGACAAATACCTACATCAAAAAACTAATATACTGTAGTGATAGAAAGCAGAAATACGATATTTTTTAATACTAAAAAGCAATTGTATTTTTAACATTAAAAAAAACGAACTATCCAATCGCAACAACGGAATTAGAGTTCAAAATACTGCGGAAAAGCTAAAAACAAAAAACAAATTTACATTACATAGGTAAGTCGGGCAGACAGTAAATTACCATGCGAAAATACTAAGTATAATAAAATAATAAATAGAGACAATGATGATTTTCATCGATTTAAAATTAAACAGCGTTAGACTATCCGCATACTGTTATTGTAATACAAAGGTTTATGGCTTATTCGAGACGTAGTTAAAATGGACAGTTGGGAAACAAATAAGATTGTTAAATGCATTCATTATTATTATTGGCAATCGCTGGCCGACTAGCGAGATACTTTACTGACACCCTCGCCATAAGTGGTTACCGGAGCCCATAGACATTTACAACGTAAATGCCGCCACCCAACTTGAGATACCTATAAGTTCTAAGGTCTCAAGTATAGTTACAACGGCTGCTCGCCCTACCCTTCAAACCGAAACACACTACTGCTTCACGGCAGAAATAGGTAGGGTGGTGGTACATAGCCGCGCGGACTCACAAGAGGTCTTTGAACCAGTAAAAAATGTCTATAAAATGCCTCACAACTCAATGTTTAGTTTGTGTGTTTGTTGGGTGTACACTCCTAGAATGCTGACGTCATGGGGAGGAGGCGCGGTATTTAATTTAGTCAACCTTGATGCTTCTTTGTAATTACATCACGTTGTTTTTCTAATCAATAGTCACTGCCTTCGTTCATAAATTCCAATAATAAATACATAAAGGTCTATCGTTTGTAGACAAATAATAATTCGAGAATTTATTTTACTCGTACATATTTTATATTCTAAGATTTATGTTGTGTTTTCTAAGATACCTTGTTTGGTTAACCTAAGGTATGAATTCCAGTGTAATTGATACATCTAAATTTCCCTGTAGTTTTATTTTCGCATTTGTCTTACAATATATTTTGGCTGTATGGTGTCTAAAGGGATTCACCGCAGAGTTCAGCAACATTCTTTGAGAATTATAGCAGCGACCTGCGATCATCAACCGGTATTTACTGGTGTTAGGGCGAATTGTAAACCCGCATGGTACCATCCCACGACAATTTCTACTGTAATTGGTCAGTGTTCTGATTTAAAGGGTGGGACAACTGATATACTATACAATTTAGACTTCAATTTTATGTTTTAAGGTTGGTGGCAGGGTTTACGTTGTGATGTCTATGGACTCTTTTTTTTACCATATTTCTGGTACCCTAAGGGGCTATTTCAGCTACGCGCAGACGGGTAAGTGAGCTCACAGGTTTAACCTGAGAGAATTAGCCCTAGGAAGAGCAATTCTTCGCAGAATTTACCACCCAATCGAATTTACCGTCCAGTGACTAGTTTTAATCGATGGGCTGTGAGCTCGTTCACCGTTTTACACAATAAAAAAGAAAAAGATCGTGTAAGTTCAGTTGAGTAGTTTGAAATATGAAAGCATAACAAGTAAAAATCTTACTTTCGCATTTATATTATTATACAGATGTATGAATAGCATAACATAGATAATAAGTAATCTGCACACTTTCAACAGTTTTTGTTCGAACTACATAAGTGTACATTGGACACTTCTGTGTATTTCAAACGTAATTGAAATTTAAAGCAGAAATATAATTTACTAGCGACCCGCCCTCGCTTCAGAAACTGTAATTTATTATTGATTTCTCCACTAATGGATGTTATTATACATATAAACCTTCCTCTTCAATCACTCTATCTATTAAAAACAACGCATCAAAATCCGTTGCGTTAAAAATTTAAGCATACATAGGGACAGACAGATAGGTATAGGGACAGATAAAGCAACATTGTTTTATACTATGTAGTGATACCCTAAAACGTTGATCAACAAATTAAATGACATAACACCGACAAAACGACTCCGAAGTTCGTGAATATCAAAAGGTATATGCCGCGCCGTCACCCAACGTAAGAAGTGGGATGGCTGATTAGGCCCGTACGGATTTCCACTGTAGTTAGACGCCTGCAGCACTAGAAATAGGCTTAAGGATCCTGTACTCGTCAAACTCAGCAGAATTCGATGTTGAACCTAAGTCATACATCACCCCGCTGAGTTTCTCGCTGGATTTTCTCAGCCCGATTCAGACAGATGAATTCACGCCAAACATAAGCACTAACCGGTTAGTTGCTTACATATTAAAAACTTACATATTAATTAAAAACCTACATATATTACACATTGAAAAATAATTATTGTGCAATGTTTAAAACCGGTCGCATTTTATACATACTTGACCATTTTTATTTGATAGACGACCAGACTCGTTTTTATTACTTTCGAAATATATTTGTAAACGGCCAACAGTCCATAATAATACGTTCATTTGCAAATTTAAAGTTAAACAATCATTTATTAGCTGAGATTGTGTAAACAGAATGCTAGTTAATCTATCTCTGACACAGTGAATTCATGACTATTTGAGGCGGCATGCAAAATTGCTTTTAGACAAATAAAGGTTAAATCGATTGACCTGACTCACATTTATTAATTCAATAAGTTAATTTTACTTCATCGCAGCATTCCTTTAGTGTGGTATACGCATACAATCATTAACTAAATTAGACTTCTAATAAGTGCAAAATATATTATGATACAAATTCCAAAAAGAAAAGGCATTTTTAAACTTTCTGAATCAGTAGACGAGAGAATCGTCTTAGATATAAACGTATGTGTATCATTGTTTTTGCAATCTTCCAATACTTTTCCGTCATAATTACGCAATTGTTTTTCTAGGTGTCGATGGGATGGCCTTGGATTACTTACGTCACTGGTCAAAGGCGATGATAGTTGCCGTAAGCGATCGATTATACAGAAGTTTATGACGTGTATGTATATACGTTGGAGTCAGATAGTCCAACTATTTTTAGAGGTAATGCACGCTGCATTGTAGGTCTATGATTACAATAATCTTGCCTACTTCTATCGCAAATATGTTTATGTGAGACAACAGTATTTTTTTAACTTTCATAATGAAGGAATAACATATTTTAATAAAAATGAAGCCGTTTTTTTTTTGTGGAATAAGTACCGCCATCATGACAATTTCTGCTGTGAATCAGTGTTGCATTCCGGTTTGTGTGGTGGGGCAGTCTTCATACAATCCAATTGAGACAGCGGCCTCATATCTCTCATATGGGTTGCGGCATTCCTTCTGTCATGACTACAGGTTTCGGTAACCACTTAAAATCATATGCGCCGTTAGTTAGCCCAAACAACGGCAATTGAAATGCCATGACCATGTTCGGGATGAATGCCGATGAGCCAATGACCACGGGTTATGAGCAAACAGGGCTCTGTTTTGGGCTAGACTATTTATTTATTTATTTAGACTAAAATATAATACTAAAAGCCGTAATGTTGCTTACTGCTTAGAAAAGCCATTTAGAAATTGAAGAAATGTAGTCTAAACGTAGCCTAAAATTTGCGCTCTAAATCTAATATTTATTTTTGCATTATTTCCCTATTTAATATGATAAAGCCGGAAACTTATTTTTATTGACAGTCGAACATATAGCCTACTTGATGGTGAGTGGTCACCAATGTTCATCAATGCTCAATAATGCCAGCGACATAGTCAAGCCGCTGTCTACCACTAATATAATCATTAATGCATTTTTAACTGCGGTACGTTGTTCTCAAGATTATGGTGCTTTTCACGGTCTTATGAAATAATTATTAAACTTGATATACATAGTTCCAATACTCGTTTAAACATGCAAATTAATTTCAAGTTTTTCTTCTTCTGAGAAATAAGGACATTTTCCTTCCTTACATCTTCCTGGACACTTCATATTACGAAATTAAAAACCTAAGAGAAAAATCCGTCGGATCTTAAAATATATTTTTATTTTATCTTTTTGCGAAGAAATGTAACCGCAATACCACATATACATTTTTATAAATTATTTGACGGCCGTTGGTGAATATATTCAAAGCTGCGTGTACTCTATTCATCCAGTCGCCCTGGACCGCAGCAATAACAAAAGTTAGACAAAGACTACCACAAAAATTTGGAAATTATTATTTTCTATATTTCTAAAATTAGTATTTTCAACTAGTAAACGGACATATATCGAAATAGCGTAAAAAATAAGATATTGTTTATCTTAAAGCATACACACTAACGAAATGTTGTAAAGCACTATTATTGTATTTCTTGAAAATCAACCTTTCAAAGGTCATTTTCAAAGCACTCAACGAACACGTGATTTTGCATCGATATTTTATTATCGAGATGCCAAAAGTCAAAAAAGTCAATATAAATAATGGAATGATGATCTTGTTATTATTGAGAGGAAGTAAGATATATAAAAAAAAAAATATCACAATAATAATAAGTGCAAATGCAACGTCGATATCATGACCTACTGACGAACAAACATAAAGCCATCGGAACCGCCTTCAACATGTACACTACTCATGCAAATATACACAAAACATATCCAATGTTTTATCATTAAAATAACTGTACATGTTACAATTACTATTGATTATGTTTTTAAAACCATCAAATCTTATGCTATAAAATACCGTTAATGTTAGGTATAAAATTAGCAAAACGTTTGAAACTGTAACGTATAAGTTATTTAGTGGCATGTTCCTCGGAGACGAAGGGTTAAAGAGATAGTGGCGGTCCCATTTTACAAACCTGTGTGGGAGCTGTCGTCTGCAGTGACTGAACGTTAATAGGCTTTGTCAGGTTGGCCAGCGTGAGCGGCATTACCGGCGGCAGGAGAGGCGTTAGCGTGGGACTCGACCCATCTTCCTCTGAAGGCTGGGCCAACACTAGCGATTAGTCGAACGACTAAAGCAACTCTCTTACTACTAATTTATTAATGCAACTCAAACGATAATGTTAAAAGTTCACTCATCAGATACGATATTGTCGATTCAAATAAAACACAACAAACCAAAACAAAGTGCCACAATCGAGGTGAAGAAAAACCGAAACCCATAATATGAACATGAAGATTGTATGTATTTTAGATGCAAATAAACTTGTGAACTCTGAACACAATTCTCAAGTTTCTTAATCACAATACAAATTCAACAAACTCATACTGTCAATCGTTAATTTAATGATTAGTAACTAAGCGTAACTCACACCGTACAAGTTGGCTGGAACTTACCAATTGTATGTTGGACGTGGCCACCACAGGTTGGGCGGGAGATGGCATCGTAGAGAAAGCTATGTGAGGCGCTGGAGGGTTTATTCCTTCAATAACAAGCTCTTTTGTAACCAAAGATTGTCTGAGCAGTGGCAAGCTTTTCTGTAAAGATTCATTAGTACTGTTGAAATGATTTTTTGATCTGATTTTTATTTTTTATTGCTTAGATGGGTCGACGAGCTCACAGCCCACCTGGTGTTAAGTGGTTACTGGATCCCATAGACATCTAAAACGTAAATGCGCCACCCACCTTGAGATATAAGTTCTAAAATCTCAGTATAGTTACAACGGCTGCCCCACCCTTCAAACCGAAATGCATTACTGCTTCACGGCAGAAATAGGCAGGGTGGTGGTACCTATCCGCGCGGACCCTCAAGAGGTCCTACCACCAGTAAAAATTCACGCCTTTATCGATAATTCGTTTGCTAACGGATAATTGAAGCTCTGTACATTTGGAATTTGAAATTTATTTTATCACATGCTTCTTATTTAAGGAACTCTACAATGTTAAAGACGGTATTATAAAATTATTTTCCTAACCAAACGACAATAATATAGTCAAGCCACTGTGACCTCCGTGCGGACGTAGCTGGAATAGCCTTAGGCCACAAGTGAATCGATAGGAAAAAAAGAACTCCTATTTTTTTTACCAACTGACTATGATGGACAGAGGATTCTAGTACCTTTAAGAATCCGATAAGGCAGGGCTGAGGACTCGCGTTAAGTAATCTTTCAAGTCTGTTGCAGAACTCTTCTGGTTCAACTTGGGCGTCGATAAGTTCCTGGATCAGATTCCGTACATTCATCTCCACTGATGGAGGCTCTTTGCTTGATAAGTCCAGGAGATTTGCTAAGAAATTACGGCATTTTTCCTTAGTGTTGTCCGAAGGTTTCTGTTAAAATTTTAGACGAATTGTTTATCGGAGACTTATCATAGTACTTTTTATATTTTGAAATCTGATATGAAAATATTTTTTCTAAATAAAACGAGATTAAAAGCAATATAACATTATAAATCTTGACCGCATCATAGTGCACTGTCAGTAAGATCTGCATCAGGTCAAACCACCAAATACATTTCCAAGGTAAAATCGTGTTCACACAGTTTCATAATCATGCAAAGCAAAAGGAAAAAAAAAAATTAATATAATTAAAGAGCGAAAATAAAAACACGACACACATAACTTACAACAGTTGTTACCGTTGGGGGTTGAGATTGAGGCGGAGGCGTACCGCAGTTTATATTTGGTATAGATGCTGGTATAACAGGCGTTGCCATCGGCGCAGCTGGCATCTGACCCGGTATAGGGCTGGAGGCCATGCTTGTTGACACCGTCGCGACGCCAGGATGCTGCACCAATAGATCCAGCCATTAATCATTGACCATTTTATAAATATCTATATTGCTGCCACCACACTGCACCACAAACTATGTTACTCGGTAAACTCTCGACTCATTTTTGAGAATTTTAAGTTTAATACCGGACGAGAGTATACCAAGACATCTAAACGAACGCAAATAAACTATCATTTGTCAAGGCGTCAATCACAAGCTTTTTAAAATATAAATATATGGAAATGCTTTAAATGTAAGGTGCATATGAAACTGGTAAAACGTAATTTTATCAAATGCATTTTGGTTATTTTTGGTGAATCATTGCAAGCTGGCAATTGCATCCAATTAAAGATATTAAATCATTTCAACCAAACACAAAAAATAATCATATAATTTACAACTATAACTCTAAATAGTTACATCTCCACTTCATCCAGAGAATTTTGAAACCAGGTCGTCCTCAGAAATGCTCCATAAATGAAGAAGCTCCATTTATTAATTTCATTAATAATTTTATATTATTGAAAGCATTCCATAATAGTGCACTTATTACTATATAGTTTCACTTGGAAGTAATCAGGCTGCTACAATATTATAAGTTTTCCAAAGACATTTGGACATTATGCTCACCCTTGCATACTTTATTCCTTCACCTTATTTAAAAAAAATATACGATACATACATAACTGTGTATGTGAAGACAGTGCATCAAAGCAATCATATTACAATAATCCCACTTGTAGCATGGTACTCATATAATGCATTTTCATATTACGCGATTTCAGCCCCTTGTATAACACGGGTGTTCACCTTATAACACGGGGATTTTTATACTGTGAAATTTATTATGATTTATACAGTTCATAATTAATTTTGCGTACTTTTGCACATTGTGTTAATCATTGTTGTTATAAAATAAAATTAATTAATTTATTTTGTGTTCCTAGTTTATGAATTGTAAAAACATTGGTTATATTGCATTATATTTATATATATTTGTATAAAACGCGTGTTATGGGATCACACAAGTGCGTCATATGAAAATACTCCTACAACGTGTTTCCTATAACATGGAACCAATTGACTGTGTTATAGGATGGATTACTGTATAATAATTTATAATAGATATTTTTGATATTTTTAAACAATGGCTTGTCTGTTATACAGTTAAGATTATATTAATCAAATAACTTATAATTTCTAAAATTTATAAAAAATTTATTAAAGTATAACACTAAATTATAAATATATCTATAAACACATATCTAATTATATTGCATATATTATTGTATTTACTAATAAATATTTAAATACTTGAAGCAGCTTAATAACTATGCATAATAAGCATGCTCTACAGCTAGCACGGACATTTGGCTTATACTTAGATGTACTGTTGGGGTACCAGCGCATATATTTATGCCTTACATTAAACTAATGAATCCAGGTAATTAGTATTTATAAGTAATGATACTCCAATTAGAATCTTCTTACCTTGTTAATAAGAACATGCACCTTCACCACATTTGTACATGCATGAACAACATGAAATTGGACAAACATGAGATTCTCAATGTGGCGCAAGAGAGAGGGGGGGTTGTCCAATCTCAGTCAGGGTGTGAGTGGTTGTGCCTACTTACTGCTGGCACAGTGGACAGCCTGATGGTTTGAGGCTGGGGCGTCGTGAGAGAGCTGGCCGCTGGAGCGGGACCCACTCTCAGCAACTGGTATTGACCATTCTCTGTCTTTAACAACAAATGACCCTGCTGGCCCGGTTGTAGACTTGGTAGTGTTTGCAGCGTTATCTAAAAATTGAACGCTTCAATTCAATTTCACCTACTTCTTCATTAAATGAAGAGTAACAAGTGAAAGAATATATATTTTACTAAATATAAAATTGGAATGCGAATTCCTAAAGCAGGTCATTTGTTAAAATTTATAACACACTTCAGTGACATGACAACATTGACGGGACAGGTGACTGTGCAAAACTAACATGTATATGATATGATTATGACAAGGTTAGGATGGGTTAAGCTATTATTGATTACAATATTATACAAAAGCCCGAGTAGCACAATGCAATTATATATGACATATATGACATCTGAAATGAAGCTTTCTCAGATTCCATTAAACTGGTAAAGATTGCTTGATTTCATAAATTTTACTAATATTTTTATTTGTAGCAGTTTTATGGATTCCCAGAAAATTATATAATAAAGTTTAATTTATAAATCCATGTTGTATTAGGTTTATATTTTGAGGCATTATTTGATTGTAGGGTAGCAGAATTCAAAGTTAAATTTCAGCTTGTTTATGATATGCAAACCACTGAAAATTTGTTGAATCACCAGTGGGCCCATTTCCCATTGATAAAAGTTTAACAAGCAGTATTCTGTGTTTATGTGACAATTTGTGCAAATATGCTAAGAGTTTTAGATGACAGTGATGTTGCCCGAAGAAATCCATCCTCTTCATGTTTCAGTGAAATTTATTTACAGATAAGTGGGTATCTAAGAATTGTGTTAATATCTTTTGTACATAACCATAATGAACCATGTTATAACATTTATTTTTACAGCATAACATTATAATGCAGAAAGATCCTGTAGATTTTTTCTTTTTTGTTTTAGTTCCTCTATAATGTCTATTGTTAATTTGTTTTAGGACTGATAAAAAGACAATAAAAACAATAGAAGATTCTGATTTGATTAAATTAGAAATTAATAACATTAACTTATTTTAAGTTTAATGATTTTTATCTTTTACAAACATTTCAGAAAAGTTGCAATATACTATGTTTTGAATTTCCTAAATATTGTTTTATTTATAAAAGTTTTTTTTTTTTTGGTGGTATATTTACTTTACAACTTGTATCAGTCCTAAAAGTTTTAAATAAGTTTTAGTGACAAAACGCTTGGATAAATAATTAATGTATTAATATTTTAACATTTGAGACTTACGCCTGGTCCTGCAGCTCTGGTGCCAACAACTTGTGGGGTGCCTATCACTACTCTTGGTGATACTGTTGCTACTGACTTTTGTGCCGCAACTGCTGGAGCACCAGCTCTCATATTCAGAATCTGAACATTAGGGAGTATTGTGGGCTGACTCGAACCCAAGTTCTGAGTTGTTACAACTACATTTTGTCCAGGTTTGTTCAAAGTCATTACATTTGGTATTGAACCGGACATGCTTGAATTGGCTGTCATCGGTACTGTGACCATTCCAGACTGTATTCCCACTTGGCCCGAAGACGTCCCCTGTTTTAAAACTAAAGGAGGTTGCATCGCGTCTACTGACGTTATCAAATGATTTTGGGACGAGGACAACCCAACGAAACCGTTCGGAAGTGACTGAGCGGGAAATGTCACCGAATTTGGGTTAGAAAATGCTTGAGCCTGAGAATATATAACTTGTATGTTATCGTTACAATTGGTCACAGTACCACCCGGTGTCAAAGAGGAATAAGTACCAGGAACACTTGATTGGACATTATTACAGGACGTGCTATTTGTCAACGAGGGTCTGTGTATACTGTTCGCGGCAATACCGCAGCTAACTCCGCCTGTTGTATATTTATGACCACTTATAATAGAGCCCGCGTTCGAACTTAGCCCGGGAAACTGAGATGATAAAACGTTCACTAAAATATTTTGTGACGGCGCCGACGATACGTTAGTAACTAATTGGTTTTCGAGAGTGCCCACGATCGCGTTCACGGCTTTCTCGTCGACGTCTGTGGACAAAGCTTCCTCCAAAAACTCCGTTGACGCCATTTTCTACAAATCAGCGGATATGACACTGGACGGTTACAAACCGGTATTTACCGACAAAATGTGGTATCACTGCTTTTGGAAACAACTTTTATTTTTTACTTTTTAGATTTTTGTCTGTTTGATAAAAAGTACTTTTTTTAAGACAGCCCAAATAAAATCACTACCTTTTCAATAAAAAGAATAATTTTGTTATTTGACTGAAAATTGTACAAATGTTGGTAATACATGCTAAAAGTTGTCATACCTCAGATGACTATATACAATATTTACAGTTAAATACACAGGGACATAAAATAAGGTACATAAATAAATAAATAAACACCAACTTTGTGATCTGTTAAAAGTGTCCGCCAAAAAGTAGAACAGCGTCTTTGTACAAAGGTGAGCCAATTTACAACTGCAAAGGTTTCAGGCTAAAACTTATTCTTAATTCGCTATTCATAACTATATTTTAATTTTAAGTCTCTTTTGTTGTGATTGTGTTAGACACTTTATAAATTACGTTCTTATCAAATCCTAATGTTATAATACCACATTTTACTCCATCTAAAGTGATCGACATTCCTTAATGAATTGAATTATAATGAGGTCTAAGTCGCAAGTCGCAAAATTTTAGTTATGATATTAATTTATATTTTTGGAAAAATATTAACAAGCTAAAAAGCTACGTTAATATTTTTTAAATTATCTATACCAATATTATAAAGAAGAAAGATTTGTTTGTTTGTTTGTATTGAATAGGCTCCGAAACCACTGAACCGATTTGAAAAATTCTTTCACTGTTTCGAAGCTACATTATTCCCGAGTGACATAGGTTATATTATTTTTTGAAAAATTTAGGGATCTTACTAAAACTAAAACTCCAATAATGTAACCCAAGGTGTAAAAAAATTACCTTCAATATTCTTTCCATCGCGTGCCCTGCGAAAACTATTGATAATAGAATAAAATAATGTACAACTTTGTAGAACACATTATTTACAAAAAGTGTCGCAACAGCATATGTACTCTTATAGTTATTCCGCAATAAGTGTTCTTTTATTTAAAAAAAAATAAAACAACGTCAAATATCATTGAATTTTTTATTAAAGACCCGAGCGGAGACGGTGCGGGCCGCTAGTACTGTATAAATTGAATTAAATTCACGAAAATTTTAGTGCGTTTCAATATGATTAGTAGCATAAATAAAGTAGAGTAAACGAAATAAACGAAATAAAACACGATTTTAGGGCGAAATAAAGAAGGGACTTTAAGTGGGCTCCCTCAGAGGGTAGAACCCAAATATATTAAGTGTATAATCTATAGGCAGAACTAAGGAGTACCATCTAGTATATTAAAAAGTGTCCACTGAAAGGGAGCCAATTAAAGTGCTTTCATAGTAGCAAGTGGAAAGATTTTAAAACAGCGCCATAAACGACCACACTGCTGGTATGTTCCGATTTGCACAGCGAGCACTGTAAAGTGTGACGACAAATTAGTATACTGCGAAGCCGTTCCTTTACAGTACAGTTTAATGTCATCGACGTGGTCATGGCGGTGTTTTCACTTCAGCAAAAATTCTTGTTTAAATTTAGTTATATTTGAAAATAGAATATTCAAATTATTGTCAGTTGAATAAATCGCCAAAAGTAAACTGTATACTTTTTAGTAAAAAAAAAGTTGTTTTTCAAGCAATTTAATGTATAATAACTTAATAACCGTATTATTGAAATGAGGTTATGCACGGTAACCAAATCCGTCTACAAAAAAAGTAAAAGCAGTATTAAATTAGAGTCAAAAGGAGACCCCTTTCCAATAAACAGAGGCGTAAGACAAGGTGACCCATTATCTCCCAAGCTGTTTAATGCAGTACTGGAATGCACATTTAGAAGATTAAACTGGGATAACTATGGTATTATAATCAATGGAAGTCGCCTCAATCATTTGAGATTTGCAGATGATATTATCTTGCTAGAAGAAGATCCTAAGAAACTTGAACACATGATTAAAGAAATAGTAGAAAAAAGCAGAGAAGTAGGGCTAGAAATTAATGCAGATAAAACGAAACTAATGACGAACTCAACAGAAAGAAACATAGAGGTAAACGGAATCAAGTTCGAATATGTGAAGGAATTCGTTTACCTAGGACAAATTATATCTTCTGAAGACTCCATGTCCAAGGAAATAAACAAAAGAATAGCATGCGGTTGGAAAAAATACTGGTCCTTGAAAGAGATAATGAAGAATAAAGATCTAGGTATACATATCAAGAGAAAGACTTTCAACACTTGTATTCTCCCTTGCATGACTTACGGCTGTGAGACATGGAAATTAACTGACAAACATAGAGAAAAACTTGCTAAAACAGAGAGAGCAATGGAAAGAAGCATGTTGAGTATCAGACTTAGTGCAGAATTCGAAATTGGGAAATAAGAAGGAAGATAAAAGTAACGGATATAATAACTCGTATAGAAAATCTTAAATGAAGTTGGACAGGACATATTATGCTACGTGTAATAAGAGAAAATCTTTACTGAATATAAGGTTTTAATAAGCTAAAATTAACAGTAAAATTTGCTTTGATTACATTAGGTACATTGACAAATAACGAATAAAACAGATTGACAATTACGTCAACTTATGGCTGATAATTTCAACTAAGAAGTTTACATCACTACGTTGCAAAAAAAACAAGTGGAGTAAACAAGTAACTTTATGGTATCCAAGAGGGGACACCAGAAGACAGGGGCGACCAAAAACGAGATGGAGCGACGATACACGCCTAACCCTAGGACCATACTGGACCAGAGTTGCAGAGGACCGAGCCCAATGGAGAGAGCTGGAGGAGGCCTATGCCACGAGGCACGCTGAACTGCGAGATATACTATAAGAAATAAAATGTAAAAAAAACACAAAAATGTAAAATTTCATGGTTGTAGTTCGGAATTAAAGGGCTTTATTATTATTATGCACGGTAACAGTGATGAAGTGAAGATTTATGAAATCATGTATTTCCTTAAGTTACTGCGACTGTATACTGTCAGTCCTTAACGTCACAAATATCTCTGCAGTAAGAGCACTGAACACTGCTCGCAGTGTAAATCGGAACAAAGCCTTCACTGTAATCCAGCATACTTCACTCAGTTTAAAAACTTCTTCATACTATTTCCCCTTGCAACACTAGCGGTAATTCGGTGACTTTTGGAACTATAATGTGCTATTTACAGATGGACACTTTTTCAACTTGTCCCCTATACAATATGGTACTCCTTACCTCTACTCTCCATGTTTTTCGATGAACTAAGTACGATATTTCTGAAAATATGTTTGGATTGTGTAATACATCGTGTTAGTAGCAGTTAAATAAAAAGATAAATGGCCATTATGGCGGTTTTGCCAAAAGTTAAAAAGTCTGCAATGATAAGTCATGAGCTTACGTATTATTTAATTAGATTCAAAACCCATTTTAGTCAAGATTATGCTAGCTTCACCGGATTTCTTACAGTTTAAACTTTATAACTTTATAAAATATATTTTTTATAACTTTACTAAGACTTACTAATCATTTTTCAAAATACGACGTTGGCAGCTATGGAAATATAAGAAATCGATTGCCATACTGAAAAAAAGACAAATTTTATCAAACGTCAATTTAATATACGTCAATTCAATTTAATTTCTACTTCTAGTTTTACACTTGTTCTGTTAGTGTGTTATGTGTTTAGTTTTGTATTTTTAAAATTTTTTAAAACTATGACCGTGGCTTTTAATACTAATTTAAAGTAATAAAAAAATGTTTTAAATAAATCTAAGGTTAGTCCATAAAATATCTTATTAACATTTAGAATATTTGATTTTAATAAAATACCGTGCTGTTTTTGTAAATAAATCGTAAGTCCTTTGCAATTTATTCACGAACTAGATTTGATATCCATTCTACATCTGCCACATATATGCCCAGTGGAAATAAAGTGGGCGTTTGATTTTCCATGTTATTACTTCGGATAAGTCAAGAGACATAACTTTCCGGTATTTTAATTAAATTCAACCAGTATTTCAAGAGTAGAGTCGTTCAATTATCATAATATGGTAATGGGTACTTAGATTTTGTAACATCAAATATAAACAAGTTATTATTAATAAAAATTAATCTGACTCTTTCGTTTTTAATTTGAACTGGAACAGTAACAATATACAACTTTTATTTTTATCAACAAATTCCGAAATTATCATTTATAAATTGAAACATTGAAAATATTTAATAGTAAAAAACATATCTTTCTAATTAAAAATTCAGACTAATAAACTACTTAATATGTATATTACTACTAAAGTATATTAACTTTGTAACTATATTTTAAAAATTATACAAAAATTCACACATCTTTTTTTTTTATTTATTGCTTAGATGGTTGGATGAGCTCACAGCTGGTGTTAAGTGATTACTGGAGTCTATAGACATTTACAACGTAAATGCGCCACTGACCTTGAGATATAAGTTCTAAGGTCTCAGTATAGTTACAACGGCTGCCTCACACTTCAAGCCGAAACGCATTACTGCTTCACGGCAGAAATAGGCGGGGTGGTGGTACCTGCCCGTGCGGACTCATGAGAGGTCCTACCACCAGTGATATTTGTACGAATTAGTAAAACATAATAGTATATATAATTTTAATCATAAAAATCAAGTAGGTAAATAATAAAAAATGTTTAATGTAAACCAAAATTTAATAAAGGAACAAAGAGGTAGGTAATAGACAAAATTAAATTATTATTACCATATTGCTATACAGGTTTCTATTTTATTGCTGCTGGGGCAATGTCTCTCTATCTTTACTTATCATGGTAACAAGTCATAAAAATCAAATCATTAAAATAATTTATAAATATAGATAATTATTTGTGACTATCTGCTTCTGGTAAAACTTGACAATTGTTGATAATTTAGTAAAGATTTTTAGTCTACCTAGGACCATAAATAAAATATAACAAGAAGAACATTAGTTTCAGTAAATTGATGTATCTTTTATAGCAGTAGTTAAAGCTTAGTGTGTGCCCAATAAAGGACAGAACGAAAGGTTGATTTGAAAAAAATATTTGCAGTTACACAAGCATGGAGAGGTTTCCTTTGAAGTCGTCAGTAACAAAAACAGGAATGACTTATCAATCAGTTTACAAAAAGGTAAGGATTATACTATTGAAATTTAAGTTATCCCATTCTTCCATCTGCTTTGTATTTGGAATAAAAATATAAATGTTACACTTGATAGAAAATGCAATTAACTGAATACCAAGTGGTTTACTGGTACTTTTACTGAATTAGATTAGAATAGAATAGAATTATAATAGAAAGAGTTAATTGAAGTAATAATGTTGATTTCTATTACTAAGCACCTGGATTGTGTAACTCTGCCTTCTTTCGTTTTTAATGTATGTTTTTCTCTTGGATTCGTCTTTCCTAGAATATTCTAGATATTCCAGCGCCTTAATAACAGAAAGGCAAAGTAGAAGGCACCAGACCGAGTGGAAGGTTGTCCATGCAATGGACTGACCAAGTCATGTCGGAAGTTGGCGGTTGTTTACATTAGTGTACCAGGCTCACCACAAACTGGGAGAAGTGGCGATTACTCATGAGGCGCATAACATCTGCCCACAGCAATAATACTGAATGACAATCATGACCACTCTCACAAGAATGATATGACAAAGAAAATAACAAATCGAAATAATGACTTCAGTGCACTCTGTAGGGCAATGGTGACCTACATGACAGTCAAAGGGTTAATATCACCTGTGTTATGTTTTATTCTTATATCTGTTGATGTTCTTATCTATATTACTGATATTTGAATGCTTTTGCCAGCTGACCAAACAATATAAAAGTCCTGTTAGGAATGGGTGACTATAAAGTTAGGTGTTATGCACTATGCTCTCACTGTTTGTCAATACATAGCTGCGGCCATAAGTTCAGGTTGATTTTGAAAGATCCTAAATATTATGAACGAAGCTTAGACATATGATAAACAAAGCTCTTTGACACAATTATCATTTTGTTGAAGGGTGGCATACTTTGTTGTGTGAAAAAGCCTGAATTTGTGCCAACTAAGTGTCATTTGTGAGAAGTGCTACTTTTCTTCTTTCATCTGAAGAAAGCAATCGAAGAAAGCGCATCTGAAGCGCATCTCGATTTCCGAAAAGTTTACTTACGACAATGCTGCTCTAAGCGGAGCAAAGCCCCGTGATTTGTTCTGTCACTACAAAATCGGGGTTGTCGATGTTCACGATCATCCGCGTGAACGAAAGCCAAGGTCTGGCTGATCAATAGTCCTGCTCATATAAAAAGATCAAAGGATGGCTTAATTCGTGGATAGCCTCAAAATACGACACTTCAAAAGTCAGTTTATTCAAACTCTGCCAGAAAGATGGGAAGAGTTGTGGCTATTAATGGGCAACACTTTGGATTATTTAATAGATTATGACCGGAATATTATTATTCGCCAATAGATGTCCGGAAGAGTCATAAAGTTGATTATCGATAAAGTTGATTATTGAAAACACGTATAACCACATTTTCTGAAAATAAATCGTAGCTAGATCGACTTATCGCCCCAGAAATCCCCTGTTGAAAAATTTTATGAAAATCGTTAGAGCCGTTTCCGACATTCAGATTATATATATAAATATACAAGAATTGCTCGTTTAAAGGTATAAGATTTGTAAGCCTTTATTCACAAGGAAATGCATATAAAAAAAACAGCAAGAACTTAGTTGCGGACTTTTATATGAGTGTTTTTGCAGTTGTTGCCAGGAAGATTTAGAGTTTAATATATTTTTAGTCTGGAGAATTAATTAATTATCGTTCTGTATTTATTTATTATTTAAGAAAATAAGAAAATAAAATTAGAAATGAATCAAAAGAAAAACCTACGACTTTGTTTTAAGTTTACATGGTCGCTTTTTAGTTAGTATTTTAAAATCCGACTTAAAAAACTAATTAAAAAATGTCCAATGTAGCCAGGATGGTGGGGAGACACAGGTCTTCAAGTTTTATAGGGTTCAACTCTGACACCCCGTCTGTCGCCCCCAAGCGTTTAGACGGAAGTTTGATTATTTTCTCTTGATCCAAAACAAAACAAACAAGTTCACAACATATATATCAAATAAAAAAAAATAAAAAAAGTATTGTGATAAATGGAAACATTTAAACACAATCAACTGAACGATTAGCTTGTTCCCATACCTTAACTAACATAGCATGTTTTTGATATGTGTTTATAAACAGCCTGAACAATTGCAACTCCCTTTCAACTAAATTAGTCAACTTTTTTTATTTATTTATTGCTTAGATGAGTGGACGAGCTCACAGCCCACCTGATGATAAGTGGTTTCTGGAGCCCATAGACATCTACAACGTAAATGCGCCACCCACATTGAGATATAAATATACTCTTACACAACTTAAAATTCTGGCTGGGTAGGGTACAAGATGACCCGATGGAGTGTCACCACTGTGACTGCGACGAGGACACGGTCGAGCACACGCTCGCACATTGCCCCGCATGGTTAGGGCATCGCCGTGTCCTCGTCTAGCAAATAGGACCAGACTTGTTGCTGTCGCCCGTCGTGGCTACGAAGCTCGGCAGCGATGAGTCCTGGAAGGCGATGCTCGACTTTTCCGAGTCCACCATTTCGCAGAAGGAGGCGGCGGAACGAGAGAGGGAGAGCTTATCCCTCTCCGCACCTATCCGTCGCCGCCGAGCCGGGAGCCGGAGTAGGACTTTTGCCCGACTCCGGCCGCTGTAGGAGGCGACCTCCCCCCCGGTGAAGGTTACGGGGCGACCAGAGGGGGAGAGACCGTGCGGCGTGTCACCTGCGCTCTAGCGCGCTTCAAGGCAGCAGTTCCACGGAATTGTTGTGTGGGAGCAACCGGTTGGCAGTGTATCGCGTTCCGACCTGGCAGGCTGGGTCTGGTCCAGCGGGGTATTTCGGAACACCAGCTGCACCGCCTGGGGCGGCCCGTCGGGCTGCAGTACCGAGACGGCCGACGTAGAGACGACGGGTGAGAGAGTGCAGGGAGAGCCGTTTGGTGGGTAGGGCCCTTAAACATCCTTGGACTCGTGGTCTGCTCTCAATACCTGCAGACTGTCAAGTCCCACATACATCGCGCGGCCCCTAGGCGCGGAAGCCTCACAGGAGGTTCGGCCTCCTACCCGAAAAAAAAAGGTACAAGTGGACTGCACCTCGTAATAACCTCGTTATATCCGGCACAATCTGATTTAAAGCAGCACTGACTGATCGTTTCGCGACAGGAAATCGATTAATAAAACCGTTAGGATTTCATTTCGAAATACGGATCGAGTCCTTCCCATACTAATTTCTACTTCTGTTGATACGGTCTTGTCGTTTTCATCAATTAAACCGGGCTATTATCTCTAGTATGTTTATAAAACCATAATATTATATAGTTATCGTGGTTGTTTCGTATTATCGTGCATAATAATACAATTGACTGTGAAAAGTCTTTTTAATAAATTATTAAAATGGATAATAAAACGAATCGATTTTCAAATACCTATATCTCTCGAATTGGGCTCCTTGAAATTTTAGTGTCATTAGGCTACCTTTACTGTCGGTTGGTCTGCACATTTGTGCACAAAAATAGTTTCAAAGAGCCGTTTGAATACAACCTTGTATTCTGGACATAAAAAATATATTCGCTTTTCTACGCACACTCGCCATTAGAGATCCTCAAAAACAGTAGGTTAAACTAATGCTCATTGTTACTGAAAAAAGTGAGACGTGAAATAAAATTGAATTTTCATTATTAACGCAGAAGACATTTAAAAAAAATTATTGCTTAGATGGGTGGACGAACTCACGGCCCACCTGTTGTTAAGTGGTTACCGGAGCCCATAGATATCTACAACGTAAATTCCGCCACTTACCTTGAGATATGAGTTGTAAGGTCTCAGTATAGTTACAACGGCTGCCCCACCCTTCAAACCGAAACGCATTAATGCTTCACGACAGAAATAGGCAGTTTGGTGGTGCCTACCCGTGCGGACTCACAAGAGGTCCTACCAACAGTAAAATACAGTATACATAATATGTTGTTATAATAATATACTTAAGTTGTATTCAAATACTTTTGTCTTAGCAATAAATTAAGTATTAAAGGTTTATTTTTTTAGTAAAATCATCTTGTGTAAATGTAACAGGGTCTTTGATTTTATGTGTCGTCGAGATATACAATTTTGGGAGTTTGCATAGTGCAACACCTACATACGTATCCAGCACCAATCCAACTGTCCCCCTCTACTCTGCGCGGTACCCATTATTGATTTTTCCCTTCATATCAAACGACGGCGTCGTGACTAGCACACAAGCGCATCGAAAACATTGAATTCGAAATAGATCTTTCTAGATTATAATTCATGAGTTATGTGGTGCTTGTGAGTACGAGTGGTGTTCGTAGATTACAACCGAAATGATAATCTTAAAATAAATGACGTAAGTGCATTCTTTATGTTATGAAATGCGCAATGTATTGTTGCATTAACCAATATAAGCTATGGGAACAGATTTAGAGGGTGAAAATAAGCTATTCGAAATGTACTATAAAAAAACCCACATCCATTTTTTTTTTGGTAATAAATATGTTAAAAATAAGTTCATGTATGTTATAAAAATTGTTGAAATTCCGGTCCGTTTCTACAAGTCCACAATATTTCGGTAGCCAATGATATTAATTATTTTACCATTCTAAATAGATAGATTAGTTCGGTCTGCGCGTGTTACACGTGAACTCATGAGCTATGGTATTTACTAATGCCCAGCAATGCACTGCTATTTCATTCATCAATGCGATTCAAATATATACAGCTAAAAAGGGGCGTGTATCCGATATTCAAGTACATTTTTTTGTTCACGATGTTCAAAAGTGATGACTAGTGGCCACGTCCAAGCTGTGTTTTCACCTAAAAGCAGACATTAAATTACTATTTTATGTTGAAAGTTGATTAATGAAGATTTTCTGGGCGTCAGACACACTGGTACACATTACAACAGTGTGCTCGGTCTTCGGATCACCTCATGCATTTCTTGCCGGTCAACCCTTGTCAAAATTTAAAACAGTGGTTGATTACATGAAAAAAGGTCGTTTTTTCATACAATACAATCAGGAAGAAAGCTGTAAACTTTGGCTTTAATCGACTTTTCGACGAATCACTCAATGAAAATAATATGTTATTGTTGTCCTTTACATTTCGACGAACACTAAGCTCCTCTCAGTCGACTTTAGCTATTTGATTCTGTAAATGTAAATTATTTCTCATATTTACCGTTGGTTTTATTCTTCAGTAAAGATAAATTATGAACAATCCTTTTTCGAGGTATGCGAGACATGTTAATCTATCGTCGTAACTGAAATAATAATGCGTTCGATTTAATTACTAGCAGGGAGTTTTATTTCGCGTATTCACGCGATTATTCTTCGGCAATTCTAAGATTTTTCGGAAAATAATATCTAAATATGTATAAAATAGTTAGTATATTAGTGGAAACTTGAATAACCCGTACGGATCAAGTGGAGCAAACAGTGATAAAGAGACGACGAGAATTAGCTTATCTTACTCTGTACATAAAATTATACAAAACCTGACGCTCGTTTTGGTCTGAACCTTATTGAACAAGATCGTTGAATGAAAATCGTATAATATTATATAAATGAAATGAAAAATCTTATTACCTCAAACGTTGAGTGAGATTTCTTTTAAAAAAAATGTTCACCACGATCATAGCCAATCTACCAAAACAAAATTGTTCATAGTTTACAGAGCGCACATTTTTTAAGAGTAGTTATAGCGAAATTCGCTATGCGGTTTCGGTGTTTCAAAACTGTTTCAAACCTATTTAAAAACACGTACTGTATTTGAGTATTAAATCTTAATTTATTTTCGATATTAATGAACATTCACGACGTCATTCAACTGTTCCGCTATTCAATTTCGTTTCTAATAATCAGATCTAATAATATTTTACACAATCGAGCATACGAATTGTGTAACACAAGGTGCAATATTGAATGTCATCGTCCAATATTGCATACTATGTTATCTTACGACGCATAGTATAGAACTACATAAAGAATTAAAGTAATTCAATTGCGACACCTATGCGTCACTACATAACAACAATTGGCTAAGAGATAATAGTTATTTGCGTTAATTCCTAGGGCGCAAACACTGCGAATGGGCGTGGTGCTCATAGCGGTGAGGATGAAATGGTAGATATCACGCCGGGCCTCCAGCAAGCGGCGGACGGCGTCACCACACCCACAAGCCACGGAACCTTCCAGATCTACGAACAAGGAAGCCGAAATTCCGCGAGCAGCACTCATTGTACGTATCAATGTATATCCAGTAAAACTGTTTGACTGAAACTTCAAACTTATCATTAATTTCTAGCAACTCGACAACTTGTTACCCTCTAATTTTGAAAAGTCGAGTGGAAGAGTTACGAAAGCTATGAATAGAATGAAATGTTCGATGTGTAATAATAATTATGGTCCATTTATAAGTTTCATTCATTCCTGAAACGCTTAGCGACACACGGTCCATTGATAATAAAATGTTATTATATTTATTACAAATGCTCAATTAACGTAATTAATGTCGTGTTCGAGATAAAATAATCGTTGTTACTAGAATTAACGTAACAGTAATATTTACAAAAATATATTTCCATATTTATAAACGCTTCTACGTCCCTATGACCGTTCATTTTATGAGAAAAAAGAAATGTGAAAAACATTAAATGACAAAAAAGGAAAAATTAATATTATTTCCTTGTGAATGGGAGAGTTTGATTGCCACTGCAGGCAGACAAACAAAATGTCCATCTGAAAGTAAGTACTTCCATCCACATTAGCAATAACATGATCGTAGCCAACCGCTGCCTACTACCGATGACTCTCTTCAAACCGCGTTCGAAGAAGTAGTAGTACTTAGCGCTTTATATAGTATAGGTAAACTGCTTCGGTGAGGGGCGGTGCCATGGTGAAAAGGAATTATCTCGAACAAGTCTTCAGAGCATTCTCTATGAAACATACGGGTTGTAACATAGAGGTAACCAGAGTCTTCCTGTAGACCCAGAGGTATCTTTGTTGACGCTATAGAGATGCGATACAAAGACGTTAGCGCTAATGTCAGCTCAGGGGCCATGTTTTTTAAACCACTGCGGGGATGCAATTTTAACCAATCAATTTATGGATTTCGAGGAGCTGGATCGCAGTTTGGTTGTTTGGGTCCCTCCCTCGTTGGAAAATCGAGCTGGAGCGAAAAGCTTGGCGAGAAAGTGAGCTTTCACCTTCGAACTGTACGCCAAACTTTCATCGGCCTTCTTCAGTAATGGGAGCACCAAGAACAGCAAAACCTTCTGCAGCCTTGGTCAGGGACCAAAAAGATTGACTCTCAATGCATATAGTTTTGTAGTCGCTCCCAAATTCTGGCGGTGTGTTCCGAAATTGTCTGGGCAATAACCTCGTTATTGGACTTGGAAGTGGTGTTAAACGTCCGTCTTCAAAAATTCCCCAGCATAATCTCCTTCAAATTGAAGCTTAGTTTTTCAATAATAATTACCGAAGTTCATTAAAGTAACTCCTTTTTATCATATGGGAAAGAATGAATTCATAATCGGCGTAGGTATGCCCTGAGGTGTTCAGATGTTTACCCAATAAAAACCAGTCTCCTTTTTCTGTGTAATTTCAAAGGGTCACGTTAAAAATCAAACATAACTTCTGTCATTCTAATTAGTATGAAATTTCGGACCAACGCCCAAAAACCCTACCCTTGGAAGACGGAGATACCGGAATGAAGTTTCGCCAGGATCAGATCACGTATTTATTTTATTTATTTTATTTTATTTATTTTATTTCGGCGCGCATCGCGGTACCGTAAGTTTCGTGTAGTCGGTGTGGTGGAGCTCGATGGGGTTTAGTCGTTCTGCGGGGCAAGTGCTTCGCGCGCCTTTTTCAAGGCGTAGTCTCCTGTGAGAAATTGGGGGAGGTGAAGGACCTCGGTCCTTCTCTTCTCCCCTTCTTCCTCTCAGGAGGCGCCGGAGTCCGACATAACCCGGTCCGTTACCCCCCTCGACCGGGTATCCGTAAATGGATTCCCCAGCGTTAAAAAAAAAAAAAAAGGATCAGATCACGTGGGGTGTATTTGGAGAGAGGCCTTTGTATGTCCAACAGTAAAATAGGCTGTTATTGATACTGGACCGATTCATACCTTAGATAGCATCAGTAGAATATGTGGCACTATGCACATAAACTGTCCCAAACAGGCCGGCTCGCTTCACAGTTTACAATCCCATCAAAACTTCGCAATCAATATGTTGCGAATGGCCATCCCTGTCGCCGCCGATTGCTGTCAGCAACTCTTTGAATCTGCGTAGGCGTTGGCACGTTTTTGAACAGGTCTCAAGGTGTGTATCATTGTTTAAACTTCATCAAGAAGCAGAGTTACAGAGAATCAAAATGTCAAAGTAATGCCCATATGTGAGGTAATTCAAGCAGTCTCATTTTGACCTACTACTTTAGACACTTTAGAAACTTAATGTTAATCCAATCTAAGGGAAGCAGCCTATTTTGAACCAATATAACTATAAAGAAAAATCATAACGTTCTATTCAACTTAGTTATGCTCAAAGATCGATCCAAATACAACGCAGAAAACTTCTTATCTATATTTTAAAATTTGAGACAGTACAGTTTTTTTTATTATGGAACATTTTCTACATCTACCCTTTCTGTACAACCTGTGGTTGCCAACTTTTGCGTGGTTTTTATGTATAGAATTGCTGTTTAACAAACAAAGAAAATAAAATATGAATGAGTAATGCAATAATAAAAATGGCTTTAATGAAAGCTGCTCTGTAATATTACGTTATTGATTTCCCTAGTCAGTAGATTCGCGGTAAGTGGTTATTACCTCGAAGATCCTTTGCTCAAGGGGAGGGACAAGTAATTGAACGCTACTTTTACCTGTACTATCTTTCATTTCTATATTTATAGAGATATATGTAGTCGAAGCGACCCTAATGCTACTTTTTCTTTCGTGAGTATTTTACTTCTAAACACGTTTTTTGGACATCCATGAGGCTTCAATTTATATGAGTGTCCGCTCAATGGTCGAAATACCATAATCACCTAATGATTGTCAGTGACACCATTGACAATAAAAGATTATATATTTTCCAAGATGTATGCTATGTTTAACATTTTTATTTTTATTTCCTAATTAACATTTCGAGTGAAAAAAAAACTCATATTCCAAATGTATTTTATTGATAGCACGTGAGTCATTAGCTATTTAAAAAAGAACATGGGAAAGGAGAAAATCGTCTTTAACTTTTTTATATTTTACGTAAACTAGGAATTCCGTGTCTTAGGGCCAGGATTTATTTCTTGAACTCTCCGAGGATAATGGTGAACTCTGTTTTGGTCACGCCGCCGCCCCACCCCGTACTCCACTTGTTCGTGACCACCAAAATTTTAGTGTTAAAAATGTTCACAACCAACTAAAATAAATTCAATTACAATACTTTTTACTACTACTACATTTACTACTACATTTATATATATATAACTAGCTGACTCGGCAGACTTCATAGTGCCTCAATCGATAAATAAAAGACCTAAACTTTTGTATAAAATAAACATAACATAAACAAAAGGAATCCGTCCGACGGGGGACACATCAAAAGGAAAAAAATGTTATTTTTATTGAATTTCGAGCATTTTCATATTTATCTACCTTTTAAACCTTCTCTGGACTTCCACAAATAATTCAAGACCCAAATTAGCCAAATCGGTCCATCCGTTCTCGAGTTTTAGCGAGACTGACGAACAGAAATAATTTTTTATAAATATAGATATGATATTTAATAATTAAAAAAAAAACGCGAACACACATATTATACTGACCAATGTTTTTTTTCTGCATTGCAAGCATACATTGCTCAGTTTTTCGGATCGTCGACAGGTACGTTATCAATGCAACGAATACGAGTGCAGATTGGATAATTCAGTACTTCCTATTATATTATTGTAACGTCCTTCACATGTCTGAGAATAGATGGCACTCTATTATGCACATCTCAGAGAATAGGTATTATCCAATCACGACTCTGTAGTTGTGAACATTGTAGATTTGTGATATTGTAGTATGAGTAATTCATTTACGTGAGTTAGTTTTTAATAATAGTACACAGCATCATGCACAGTTGGCAATGTTTATGCGTACCTAAACTTTAGTGACTTAGACTCGCCTCGTTGGTCAAGAATTTACTGACTCTGCCCAATACGATGGCGATGCTGTTGTCCATGACCTACAGTGAAAACTCATCAAATGCTGTGTGTACCTTTGAAGGTACGGGCTTTGAAGCGTTCTCAAGTACTATCCTATAGCCCATCTAATTATGTAAAACAGTAGTCTTCTACAATTTCAATGATAACAATCAAAATAAATATTAAGAAATATTATAAACATTGTATATTATATTTCAGCAAAATTTAGACAACAACAGTCCGTAAAAATATAGGTAGAGCTAAAGCCGTAAAGAGTTAAAGTTACTTATGGAAACTTACATATATGTTTTGAATTTCATAAATTGCGTAAGTGTTACTTAGAAGAGTGCCCAATCGTCTAATCACTAATAGAAAGTACATGTAATGCATTTAGGCCGATAAGATTTTTGTAGATAACGATACTGATACATCCGAATATCGATAAGATACACGTTCAGTTCACTTTTAGTTTTTGATGAAAACAGTGTTTTAAACATTCAAATGGAAAGTTCAGAGAGTGGAAGTGAAAGGGAGCCACTCGTTCCAGACGATGTAGGTAAAATTGCTTATTTTTATAAATCTATATTGGTCTAGACGCGTCGACAGGCTCTCCGCCCGTTTGGTGTAATGTGTAAGTTTTTCGTTTTATAGAGTTTCAAGTCGGTACTGAAGAAAATTTCGCTGCAAAAATTTTGGCTTACTATAAATTATAATATGCACTATTAGCGGATATATTTTTTTATTAAATAAACCTACCAATGAACTAATTATCTAATAATCTAAGGCGTTATCAAATAAGAAAAAAAAAATTACAATAAATAAGAATTCATAGCAAATGCGCATTGATGAGAAAAGTATAACTTTCATGCATTTAATCAGGCTTTAATATCGGGTATGATCGTACGACAATGATAGTAAAATAAGTTGCACAACTATGTTTTTGTAATAATAGGAAGTGGAAAGTCTATCACGCTATCACGTGATGGCTTCGCGTCGTCGGTTTGTTGCCAACTAGCAGTAACGACAAGTTTTCTTAAAATCAACGCGGTTTGTGTATGATATTAAAAAAATAATGTGTACCATACTTTTAAAGTTTGAAAATCACTCACTTCGTGCGAATAATGAGACAAAAATTAAGGAGTTTAATCTGATAATATTAAATTACTGAATATAATACAAAAGTACAATGTGTACAGTAAGTAATAGAAATAATATACTTGTAACTATAATAGTATAGTAACTATAATAGTATAGTAACTATAATAGTTACAAGTGTTACAAACGAAACCACAATTAAAGTAAGTTTAAATTTAATTCCAAGACTAGCTTACAGAGTTCGTTAAAAGTATAATAAATTTGTAATTAAAGAGTTGAATGTGGGGGTCAAAAAACAAGAACCCTGTGAGATCCAGGACTAGAAGTAATTTAAACTCATGATGGATTTCAAATCGAGAGTTGATCGATCGTTTCTACGGTAGGTATTCGAAAAGAAAACATACATGAAAAAAATGGTACTGTGATACCAAAAAGCATCAGTTCAGCAAATGAAAAAGTAGATTGCTGAGCTGATTTTCAGCTGAAGCCTCGAGTGAGATTATTATTGTAACACAGTAGACGTAATATCTATAAGTTTGTGATTCATTGGCTCGACCTCCTCCTCATTAACTTCGATATTTATGAAATTATTGCGGTTCACTGATATTCATTATCGTTTACATTGTATTCAATTACTAGCAATAATTAAATGTTAATTTTATCGGTCGGCATGCTTGTTTGACTTTCTGCGCTGATTGCACTCAGATGATGTTTTTTGTAGATTCAATTGATATTAACGATCTACAATGAAAAATAGAAAGGAATAAATGTATTTTTTACTCCCGAAATGATTGAACGAGCTGACGGCTAGTAGAAGTAGTGTTATGTGGTTACCGGAGCCCCAGACAGTGATAGCCGCTCACGAAAGGTTCATCGATTGTAATGTATAACAGCTGTCCCACCTTTCCAGCTGAATGACGCGGCTAAATACACAGGATGGGAGTATTTACCCATGCGGGCTTACAATACGCCCTACAATCAGTATTAATGCTTCACAAATTTGTGGGTTTCAATTTACACGCTGTCATTGTTTTATCGCTGAAGTATTTAACACGTGTGAAGTTCGGGTTTCTTTCAATTCGGAACCCCGCAGGTGCGTTTGGAATACTAAAGACGTATTGTTTGATACGAGCAAACCAGGCATCTGTTTTTTTAGCAGTAGAAATCAGAAAAAATGATATCGATTCAATCTCGATTGTATTTTCCTCATTTAAATACTTTGTACAGTATTTGATTCAATTGTAATTCAGAGGATCAACTTCGTAATATGTTCCGTTGTAATTGTGTATTAACAAGAGGAAATCTTAAGGTTTCTAATAAAAAAAATATATATTTAAAAGTCATTTGCATAGCTAGACGTCATGATCTGACTGATGTATAGCTTGAAACTCTCTAGAAAATAAGAGATATAAGATTAATAATTTAAAATATGGGTAATTCATTAATATTTGACAGCAATAGTGGTTCAAGTGATTGCTTGAATTGAATTAACGTCTCTGACTATCATATTAATATGTTTTGTTGTTAGTGTCCGGTTCCTATTACCGTCAGTTAATCTAGTAATTTCTGAAGGCATTCTAAATACTGTTCTTTTTGATTCTGTAAATATTCCATTTAATTAAAAAAAAAGTTTAGTCAACATCCCTGTTAATACTACTAGTAAATATGTAATATATTACATTATTATATATTACCTTAATATCTTAACAGTTAGTCATTAAATTCAGAACAGTATTCCTACATTGATTAGTAGATTTTTATGAAGTACCGATAGCAACACGACTAATCATGACTACAGAGTAGTGGTGGTACAGATTAACCAACCTATCCTAGTTTGACAGTCTGACGGTCGACGACGGCGACAGTCCGCCGCGACTCTACGTCAATCCGAAATCGTAATAAAATGTTTTTATCAGTTTACAACTTGTGATTGTGTACAATAAAACAGACGATTTCTTTTGTTTTAATGTTGTCAGTGTCCTTAACAACAAAGCTATAGAACTGTGATATTATTTTTAGGTTTTCAAACATAATTTATCCGTGGTTTTTGCCTTGTTCATTTATTTACAGTGGATAGCAGCGTGTGATTATTTTAATGATTAATTATATTCATTTCTAAAATAAATTCTTTCAGGGGACACAATTATGTTCTCAGGAATGCAAGGTTGGTATAAATAATTTTTTATATAAAGAGTATAATGTAGAATAAAGACTAGTTATTTCTAGAGTGTACGAAATTACGAAATTAACTTCAGTTGGACGTGTCACATTCATTATTTTTGATCACGTGATATTTAGAATACAAGAAATTACCTTTAAATTCAATAAGAATACTTTTAGAATAATGAATTGTCTTTTTTTATTAATAAAGACTAATGTATTCTTATATTATTATGGTATTGTAAAATATGTTATTGGATTGTAAAAAAGAAACAAAAGTTAGTCAACAATTTTTTTTAAATTTCATCACTTTAAAGAAAATATATATCCTAATAATTTGATTTTGGTCTTCAATAGTTATATCAATCAGTTTTATATTTAAATAAAATACTTCTCAAGCTTTCCCAATACATATATTTGATAGACATAATTTTACAAACATAATCATAAAGAAAATACTGAATTCACAATCATGTATGCTATGAAATATGTAGTATAAAATAATATACAAACTAATACTATTCATCATTGTCATAGAATTAATAAATGATACAAAACTACATTTTAGATTAGGCAATAATTTTCCTTTTGTGTTTGTACTTTGTGCAAATTATAAGTACATTTATAAAACAAAAACTGTAAACTTTACAGTTATTGATTAAAAGAAAGAATAATATACTCCTAATATGAGATTCTAAATGGCTAATAATAATAATAATATGTATCTGTGTAGGTGATGATGATATTCCTGGAATTGGACAATATGAAGATTTCCATACTATTGATTGGCAAAGAGATATTGCGAGAGATCGCATGCGACATAGATATATTGTGAAGAAGAGGCAGGACTCAATATGGGATTTAATCAAAGTATGTACATGAAGATATTTAATTGATAAGTTGATCCAATAAAGTGAGCCTAAAACCATTTGTTGTAATTGGTTACATGAAATATGTATTAAATATTAAACCAATAATACTGACATAAGATGCAAAGTAATCTAAAATTGTAATAAAAATTAAACACACTTTCTTCACACACATTGCTATATCACATTGTCAGATAAACTATTAAACTGTTTAATGAGTATTAATTAATTTAATTAAATATTTAAACTATAATAAAAATATTTAATATATTTAAACATTTTTCATGTAGGGTGCCCATGATGCCTGGTCTGGATGGGTTTGTGTATTGCTTGTGGGAGTAGCAACTGGGATAGTGGCAGGAGTAATTGACATTGGTGCCTCATGGATGACAGATCTCAAATTTGGAATTTGTCCAGCTGCATTTTGGTTTAATCGAGAACAATGCTGCTGGTCAGACACAAATACTACATTCGACAGTGGGAATTGCTCACAGGTTAGTTATAGTAAACTATTTAAAAAAAGTTTATTTTAATTTATATTCTGTTAAGTATTAATATAGTTTAAATTTAAATTGTTCAATATTAACTATATAAATGTATAGTAAAAGATACCAAAGAGATTCCTAAAGATCTACTGATAAATTGTAAATGAAATATTTAGAACTTTGTTGCAGTGCTGATTGATTCAAAATTTATTGTATTCTTTTTTATTTCTTTTTTAAATTATAATTCTTGGAGATTTGATTTATATTATACTATATGTTCTTCCTTTGTCGTGGAAGTTGTTCCTGAATATTTGTTTAGTACAGCCTCAGTTGTATTGTTTGATACGAATGCAACAGGCGTCTGGTTCTTTAGGCCACAATGACTTCAAACTTTAACTAAAACTACTTGAATAGACTCATCTTGCATGTATTACTTCATAATAAAATCATAAGTAATTGAAACTTCTGAGAGTATAAAATGATAATAATAGCCTAACGAAAACTGAATACTAGTCTATTATGTTTGCTCTGGTTATTGCGGGTCATAGACTTATTTAAAAGTTATTTTGACTATTTTATATATATTTAAGCTTAAAACACTTTCGTATCGTGAATACAGTTTGAGTATCGTAGATATTATTGTTAAGTTTTATGTGTAATCTTCTATGTACGTATATGTTATTTAATTTCTTAGTAATGTTTTGTTCCACAGTGGCTCACCTGGCCTCAAGTTTTTGGCGACCGAGGTGATGGTGCTGGAGCTTACATCATCAGTTATCTCTTTTATATATTATGGGCTTTGATATTCGCTGCACTTTCAGCGTCGCTCGTAAGAATGTTCGCGCCCTATGCATGTGGCTCTGGTGAGATATTACTATTACTAGTTTCAAAAAGTCGACCGTAATCATTGATACTTCAAGATTTAAATTGATTTTATGTCAGAAAAATGTATTTATTTGTTTTTGTATTGCTATTTTGAAATTTGTTATCAATATAAATTTTATCTTCTACAAAAAAGTATATATTGGTGGACAAACAGAGGAAAAATGGTTTCTAACTGTTTTGCTTCATATTATTTTATTTATAAACATAATATAATATGTAACTCAACTCCATGTAATAATTGCAAAATTAAGATGAGTAATTAAGTCAATTATTGCTATCAGATTAACATAATCCTATCCTCCTGTGCAAAACACCTGGTGGAAAGTGGTCTTCGTCGCCCATGGACATCAGCCACACCAGATTCGCAGCAGCTACATTTACTCTGAGCACTTGTACACTAACTGGCAAGCAACTAAAAACGTGGTGTTATACCCACCCGTTATCTCCTGTCTTGAGTATGATTAGCGGTGCGACACCATAACCCTCTTACCGTGGCCGTTGCTAATTACATTTCCGACCCAAGCGACGGGGCAACACAAATCCGCTCTTGTCGGAAACATGCCTAGTTGGATCCCCCAGATCCACTCTCTGTGCTCTTAGGATTTCCAAGCATCGGCCACCGTCATCGTTGAACTTTTTGATTACGACGAGCGAACTAGCCCATAGACACAGCCCACTGAGCTTCTCGCCGGACCTTAGTGGGTCCCAATTCCGATCTGGTTGTAGACTCTACGAAGCACTGCTCTTGCATTATTGTTAGCAAATTCTCTCAGGTTGAACCCGTGGTTTCACCTAGCTATCTGGGCGTAGCTGAAATTGCCTCTTAGGCTACCAGCGAATAAGTAGGAGAAAAAAAAATTGATAGCAATGTTCAATTTTATGATTACTGTTTCTATCACCAGGTATCCCCGAAATTAAGACCATACTAAGTGGTTTCATTATCCGAGGCTACCTCGGCAAGTGGACCCTTATCATCAAAGTGGTAGGACTCATACTGTCTGTGTCATCGGGACTGTCTTTGGGGAAGGAAGGACCTATGGTGCACATTGCCAGCTGCCTTGGTAAGATTATAATTTTATGAACAACCGACGCCGGATCTCAGTTTCGCTCGGCTGAATCCGGATATTGTGCTGAAAACACGTTACAGTAGGCAATTGTATACGTATTATTTATAATAAATTTTATAAACTAAGCTTCAATATTGAATTTTATACATTTCTCTTCGAAAGTGATGCATTTCCTAAATCCTAAAAATAATAATATTGACATGAAATATTGATTGCAAATCATAAAAATATTGAATTTCGTGCTGCCAACTTTGAAAATATGTGGTTTCTACATAATCATTCATCCTTTATTTTATTCCATTAGGAATGAAATTTCAAAAAAATCCCTTCGTGGATGTTTATAACAGAACAAGCCTTAATTAATAAAGCTTAAACATGCAGCCCCAGCGGCGGCGGCGGCTTTGTAATGTTGAATCACTCAGGATAAGTGATTATATAAGAATACTAGTTTAAAAACAACGTTTTTGTAGCAGGCTTTATTAAAAAACAGAAAGCTTTTGTTTTTAAGTACAAAAAAACAACAATTTATCGTAAGTATGAGTAGGCTAATAGATGTTAATTATTGAAAATATTTTATTGACAGACATTAGTAAAAGTAGTCACTAGAAAGTATTTTCAAAAGCATAAAACGAAATGTATTCTTAATTAACCCAAATTATAAATCAAACTGAACTAATGCACATATTATAGAAAAACCTAATGCAGTCGTCATCTGAATTCGTCATAGGCTTACGGATAAGTTTACGCCCAATGTTCTCGAATCGTGCTATTTATGTGCGCCAGGGTTCAAATCCTGTAGACTGCTTCCGATTTTTCTTATTAAATACGTACTTAACATACGTTCACGAATGACTACCACGACAAAGCAATAATATCGTGTAGTAAAAATCAATCACGCAAAATTATGATTTTGCTCAATTACTGGTGGTTAAGATTTTTTGTAAGACCGCACGGGTAGGCAACACCGCCCCGCCTAATTCTGTCGCTACACGTTTTTAAGCCTTGATGTAACTTTTACAATTAAATAATAATCTATATATATTAATACGTGAAGCAAAAACTTTGTATCCCTTTTTACGAAAATTGCGCGGACGGAGGAGTATGAAATTTTCCACACTTATAGAGAATGTAGAGAAGAAGTGCACAAAGCTAATATTTTTTTAAAATAAAGCATAAAAGATACATTAAATCAATAAAGAAAACATTACACACACTACATACCATGTATTTGACGCACACACGCATGCATACTGTTTATTGTCAATCTTTTGTTCTTGACGTCTGTGGTCAAATTGAGAATAGATTGCATATTGTTTGTGTTTGTTAATATTTTTTATAGTGTAGTCTTGGCAAAATTTGTGATTATAGAAGTATAAAATACAATCATAATAGTGTACAAATTTACAATTCCAATTAATTATAGTCGAATTTCGACTACTGCTGGACCTCTAGTATAGAATTAATTTACTTTCAATTATTATGAATACTGCAAAAAGTACATTTTTCTATTAAGCAACTATTTTGTATATGCCATGTTTTTACAGCACAATATCTTATCGTGTTTGTAATGCGTTCCGGTTTACAAAGACAGTCCCACCTTACGGGCAGTCGTAATATATGTACATATAAAGTCTTAGAATTCATATCTCAAGGTGGGTGGCGATATCTCTGGACTCCGTTAAGCATTTAACACTAGGCGGACCATCCGAGCGATATTCTTTTTAAAGTAAACCAGTTTTTCGGACCTTAATCTAACTATATTGTCAAAAAGGAATAAAATGTATCCACATATGAAAAAAAAACCTAGAAAAGCACTGCCTCATTTGTCACTTATAATCTGTTCCTCTAATGAATGTGCACGTTGTGTTTCCTTATCATTGTTTTGTGTTCAGTCGTGTTACGTTATTAAAAATACAAATGTATCGTATTATGATTGTACCGTCTGTTGTATTATGATAAACGTATTGTACTTTAGGTGATAATTTAGTAAACACGACTTCTATTATTCAAGCAAAGGCTGCATTCAATGACAGGGTTATATTACTTTCGGCATTTTATAAGGTTGGGTGATATACTATAAAAATATTTCGGAAAAATTTTAATAAATTAAAAGTTTATATTAATCAACGACAATAAACGCGACATTAAATGCGATTACTTAAAATGAACTTTTACGGTGACATTTTGCACTTAAGTCATGGGCACTGCTCTGCACTACGCATTCCAGCTACTCGACATCCAACAACGCTCAACTTTTCCTCATACACGATAAGCAATACTGAGCAAAGACGATTGAAATTAAATTGTTCGACTTTTTTATTGCCCTTATACACAGACGAGCACACGGCCCACCTGATGGTAAGTGGATACCGTCGCCCGTGGACGTCAGCAATGCCAAGGGCAGAGCCACCTGCTGCCCGCCGTTACGTGCTCTCCACAAGCTTTCTTTAAAGAAGAACATATAGCGTCCGATAAACACCGCAGAGGGGAGCTCATTTCCTTCTTAACTTTACACCGTTACCCTTACACAGTTGTATTAATATAAAAATTTCTTTGCTATCGCTTATTTAAGCGTTTTGAAAAAAATTAAACAGTAATCTTAAGTACCTTACTAGTGGTAGGACCTCTTGTGAGTCCGCGCGGGTGGGTACCACCACCCTGTCTATTTCTGCCGTGAAGCAGTAATGCGTTTCGATTTGAAGGGTGGGACAGCCGTTGTAACTTATATGAGACCTTAGAACTTATATCTCAAGGTGGGTGGCGCATTTACGTTGTGGATGCCTATGGGATCCAGTAACCACTTAACACCAGGTGGGCTGTGAAGTCGTCCACCCATCTAAGCAATAAAAAAAAAAGCTAACACCTGTTGCTTAGAATCTTTTATACCTTAATATAAAACCAATAAGAAAAATAGGGTGGCTCTATAGTAAGCCTTTACATCGCCAGGACATTCAACTTAATATACGATGTGAAAAGTCATATGCCAGTATCGATTCTCTATCTGTAACAAATATTGATCGATGCCTCTATTAAGACATTGGCTAAGGCTGTTTACGGACGTCATTTGACTTGTCTTCACGGGTTCCGTTCTGATCAAGAAAATGAGTAGAACCGATGACTTTTTAATCTCTAATAGACACCGTCTAAAAAGATACAAAAACATGTTATACATAGTTGTAAGAGCTGTTTATAAATTATGTCAATCGAAATTAATACTTCTAATATTTTTTTGGGTATGCACACGTCTGTTAAGAATAAACATTATATATGTGTGTACTTAGCTACAATTTTTAATAATGTACGATGCATGTGTTTTTGCGTGCATTATTACAAAATTATTTAGGCGTATTTTATTTATTTGAATATGGATTATTTGAAAATTTATACAATCGTACATGGTAAACTGACTACGACAAAATTTTGAACGACCAGATTGTTTTTTTTGAAGCCATTTAAATCAGAGATTAACTATAAGACCAAATGAGAATTTCAAATTTCAAAAACATTTATTCTAAAATGGAATTCTCAGTAAAACTGCGGTCAGTCTCCACTGGAAACATTACTAATAATATTGACTTTTGAGAATAAGGAAACTCGATACTATTGATATTGGATTGAGAATCAACGATATTCAGTAGTGTTAAAGTATCTACATGAGTCATGTATTACAAGGTTAACTTACCTGTTTTTAGCGAAGTTTCGATTAAAATTTGTTTTGTATGTAGAGTTCTTACTTATACTATTTTATGCTAAGGCACCATGTTCTTTTATTGAAGTTTCTTATTTTGGCAGACCGAAAGTGACTCTACTCTCTCTCTACTCTACTCTATGTGATTTTTTAGCATCTGTTTCAATTTTATCAATTCAATATCATCAGTTTTTGTCTATAAAAATAATGATTTCGTTAAATTTTTTTACTGGTGGTAGGACCTCTTGTGAGTCTGCGCGGGTAGGTACCACTACCCTGCCTATTTCTGCTGTGAAGCAGTAATGGGTTTCGGTTTGAAGGGTGGGGCAGCCGTTGTAACTATACTGAGATCTTAGAACTTATATCTCAAGGTGGGTGGCGCATTTACCTTGTAGATGACTATGGGCTTCAGTAACCACTTAACACCAGGTGGGCTGTGAACTCGTCCGCCAATATAAGAAATAAAAAAAATATAGTTTATTTATTCGAAAAGTCAGATTGTGAATAACTTATGAAGTTTCATTAGTAGATGTTCAGAATGGAGTTCAATTAACATTACTCTGAATCACTAATCACGTGCGCTACGTTATAGTACATATCTATACTATGAGTTACATTCTTTTATTAATTTGAACAGAATTTTCCTGCTAATCGCTACAAATTTATTCGCAAATTTTCAAAACGAATTCTTAACACGTTAAATGCGGGACCATTTTTGAGGGACTTTCAACCAGTGCCTATTAGGTAATTTCGAAGCAAAATAGGATTTCTTTACAGTGCATATGACATCAAATAGGCCTTAAAAAAGTCTGTTTTTTAATATCTTCTCAATACATTTAAAATATAAACATAGTCGCTTTTCGTACCGAGCGAAAGAACGTGGTTTTGACTGGGCGGCAGTCAACAGTCGCGTATGGGGCTCTAACACAGTCAACGTGTCAACAGGTAACATTCTATCATACCTGTTTCCGAAATACGGTCGCAACGAGGCCAAGAAGCGCGAGATCCTGTCCGCCGCCGCCGCCGCCGGAGTGTCCGTCGCATTCGGAGCTCCCATCGGTGGAGTACTCTTCAGTCTGGAAGAGGTAATTAACCACCCTTTCATCACTTTAGGACATCGGTGTCGAAATCATCAAAGTCCACCGTCAAAGATAAGATGCATAACCAGTATTTTAACAGGCAGCACTGAAAAGGTTATCGATTGTAAACGTTATATGTCGGCGTTAAGCCAGGGTTTTCACACATAAGTTCTTTTACAATGAAAATTACGTAATTAATTTATTACTGTTAATTATAATATAAATTATTATTAATATTTATGCTTTATTAATATTTAATTATTTATAGTAATTTGTTTTTTTAAACAATAACATAAACAATAATCATATTTTGAACATTTTCACATCAAAACAGTATCTGTTAAATATAGTAGAAAAACAGTTTCATCTTGGTAATAATAAATAAATATTAACATAGAATAAACTAAACTATATATTATTACGTTAAATTTTGCCAATAGTGGCGTTTGCGCCCATATATACGACCAAAAGTTTTGAGTGATCTTACACAAAATCAAATACAATTTATCATCAAGGAAAGTTTTTCCGCATACAATAATACAATTCTGTTATAATAATAGACACAAATTGAACAATAATGTTGTAGTTATGAAGCAAATTTTTCATTCTCGATGTTATATATAGCAATATTTCGTCGCTGTCAAACCAAAAACTTTATTTTGAATTAACGAGTAAAAACATTTTCGTATAATTTTTTATATGAAGGTGAATTTTTAAGAACTACTATATCAAATGAAAGCTATAAATAAATATATAAGTTTTTATTTTATTCGGTAGATAGGGTTGTGAACTAAACGAAAAGGTAAAAAAGTAAAAATCTCAAAAAGCGCACATAGCAGATTTTGGTTTGACAACGATGATTTTCAAACTTGCGAATAAATACCGCGAAGCTATGCATTAGAGGAAAGATAAGAGAAGTCACTATTTATAACCGCAAAACGTAATTCTGATTGGTGGTATGTCATTGAAGAAATGATTTTTCGTTTTATCAGGTATCGTACTATTTCCCGCTGAAGACCCTTTGGCGTTCGTTCTTCTGCGCTTTGATTGCCGCCTTCATACTGCGCTCAATCAATCCGTTCGGCAACGAGCACTCCGTGTTGTTCTTCGTCGAGTACAACAAGCCCTGGATCTTCTTCGAACTCATTCCGTTTGTTGGCCTCGGTATTATCGGGGTGAGTTCATAATTGTTATTCCATTTTAAAAAAATATTATGACATGAAAAACTTCTTTAGCTATTTGAATGGGGTAAACATAATTGGGGTTCAATTAAGAACATCGAATTGTTTGATGCTAATATCAAATAAAACAGACCTTTAGTTACAAAGATAAATGTCCAAACCAAACAGCTATTCATCCCTATAAATATATTGCAGGGTTGCATCGCTACGATCTTCATAAAAGCGAATATCTATTGGTGTCGTTACCGGAAGTACTCGAAGCTGGGACAGTATCCGGTGACTGAAGTGCTGGTCGTGACGCTGATCACCGCCATCCTTGCCTACCCGAACCCATACACGCGCATGAACACCAGCGAACTCATATACCTGCTTTTTAACCAGTGCGGGATCTCTAACTCGGATCCTTTGTGGTCAGTTTTTTTATATATTTTTTATTGCCCTAGTAGGCAGACGAGCATACGACCCAACTAATGGTGAGTGATTACCGTCGCCCCTGGACCTTAGCAATGCCAGGGGCAGAGCCAAGCTGCTGCCTACCAAAATATTATAATACATCAGTATTATAATACATCTAATAAAAACGACAATGTTATATTAAAATATAACTAATATTCTAATACCTCAATTCCAAAGAGTAACAACAAAGATAATTGTACCATAATTTCCAAAAAGAAACAAGTTTATATAAATTTAGTTTATTTATTACAGTCGGGAAAGTTTAAAGATCTAATATCAAAGAAAAAAAAGTAATACTTTCCATTTCCATGAATAGAGTATTTCAGATTAACTTCCAATTATCTTTGGAACCGAGATGTGAACTTGAGTTGAATATTTTAAAATTAAAATTATACATCAGATAATTAAAAAAATATGTTTATAAATAGTGGAACTCGGTCACTCTTCACTGTGATTGTGACTAATTGATGAATAGTCAGTCATTTCCTCCATTCCAGCGTTAATCCATTTCTTGAAACTACTCACCAACCATTTCTCGTATTTCAATGAGACTATTAAAATATTTTTTTTAAACCCAAACACATTTCTTAATTAATCATTAGATATTGAAGAAATGTTGTATTTTGAATTTGCCAACATCGGTAAACTCTACTCTTAGCTCATAAAGTATAATGTTTCTATCAAATTAAGTCATTATTGTTTAAAACAGTGACTACAATCGTAACTTCACCGATGCGAATTCGGCGATAGAGAAGGCGGCAGCCGGTGCTGGGGTGTACCGCGCTATCTGGCTGCTGGTACTCGCTCTGGTCTTCAAGCTGGTCGTCACCATCTTCACGTTCGGTATCAAGGTGCCGTGTGGACTGTTCATACCCAGCCTCGCGCTCGGAGCCATTGCTGGCAGGATTGTGGGCATCGGTGCGTTTTACAATTACATAATGTAACAAAAAAGGAGTGTGAATTTAAGTCAGTTCTCAGTCCTACTATTTAGCCTCAGGTCGTACTTAAATAAATACGTATACATAAATATATACATATAAAAATATATATAAATAAATATTATCAATTTGTAACCACTCTCAAATAAGCTGTTGTTTAAACCACTGTATCACTTCATATAAATAATAGTTTAAAAATCTTCCTTCATTAACTATTTGTTTGCTTCAATTTCACTTTCATTAGTTTTGCATTTAAACATTTTTATAAACAAACGTACGTGAACGTGTAATATACATCAGTTATGCATGACCTTTTACAGGTGTCGAACAAATGGCATATACCTATCCGAAGATCTGGCTTTTCTCCGGTGAATGTTCAACCGGCGATGACTGTATAACTCCTGGACTATACGCGATGGTTGGAGCGGCGGCTGTACTCGGTGGAGTCACGCGGATGACCGGTTAGTACAAAATGTTCATATAGCTTTGATGAAATTTACTATTCATAAAAACACTACACAATTAATAATTTAATTGTAACTATACTTGAGACTTTAGAACTTATATCTCAAGGTGGGTGGCGCATTTACGTTGTAGATGTCTATGGGCTCCAGTAACCACTTAACACCAGATGGGCTGTGAACTCGTCCACCCATCTAACCAATAAAAAAAACAAAGACTACACAAGATAAAACCTTCATTTTTTGTTCGTTTCTAGAGATAACTTTGTATTTTTTTTCTATTTTCCTACTATAAATTATATTTTTGCACTATACGATAATGGAAGATACGTAATAAGTCATTTGCATTGAATAAAATGAACATTAAAATTATTTTTCTTTTCAGTTTCGCTCGTTGTTATAATGTTCGAGTTGACCGGCGGGGTTCGTTACATCGTGCCCCTAATGGCGGCCGCCATGGCCTCCAAGTGGGTGGGAGACGCTTTGGGTAGACAAGGCATATATGACGCACACATCGCTCTGAACGGATATCCGTTTCTCGATAGCAAAGATGAATTCCAGCACACATCTCTCGCCGCCGACGTCATGCAACCTAAGTCAGTCCCCTCACATATTATTAGACTGTCTCATTAAAGAGTTATGCCATTTAACCCATTAATCAAAAAGTGCACGTAACTAAAAAGTAAACCTTTACTGTCCTAATATACTTTCATTTAATTTATTTTTTAATAAATGTGCTACTATGTCATTCACTGTCCACTCAATGCATCATAGTTGTTAAGCCAATATTTGCTATTTTTTCGACATTGTTATCGTTATGACTAATGTATGACCAAAAGTTAGTAAAGAAAAAAACACATAGCATAAATTGGTTTAATAACAATAGTGTTTTCATGAATCATAATTACATTTTGACATTTTGCATTCGCATAGTATTCACACTTTGCATGAAAAGTTTTTTGTCATACTTTACCCAAAGCTATTTCATGTCATTCACTTTGCTTAGCTGTACCTAATACTGAATACTAATTACTGAAATTGGCTGCGCTGTTGTAACGTAAAAGTATTTTAATTATGTATATGATCTTATTGTTTAACTACCCAACCTTGCTAAACCTTATGATTATTTTCGCCTAGAATTATAAAGTCTAATGCTGCACGCATTGCGAATACCAAATGTTATGTTTTGTTTCTAATACTGCCATTGCGTTGCAGCCATGAGCGATTCATTCGTTTACTATATTGTATTCAACTTATTTTGCCTAGCAATGTTATTGATAATACTCTATTTAAGTAAGGTTAAGAATAACATTAAAAATTGTTTTTTTTTTTAATTGTTTTGATAATAATTAACTTATCTTTCCTAAAAATAAATTTAATTAAGATCTAGGAAACCAGCTTTGCTTTAAATTCAAATAATGATTAATTACCTAAAGCATTGCAAAAATAGAAATTATTGTGACATTTCAGGTGCTATCATATTTTTGTTGTTGTTGTAAATTCTGGCTTATTTCCTTTTCACCCATGCATTGCGATTGATATTTCATTCCTATATTTATCTTGTATAGTTCTATAGTATAGTAGTACAGGATTATTATTCAAGACCACTGCTTTCTTTGTCAACAGACGGAATGAAACTTTATCTGTAATAACTCAAGATTCGATGACCGTTGATGATGTGGAGACCCTGCTTAAGGAGACCGAACACAATGGGTATCCTGTTGTTGTGTCTAAGGAATCTCAGTACCTTGTTGGATTTGTGCTCCGACGGGATTTGAATCTTGCTATTGGTGAGAATCTAAAAAGAATTTGATTTGAAATACAGTTGCTTGAAAAACTATTTTAATACTCTATGATGTCTTTAATCTGTTGTCCTAATAGTATATTGTACTTATATAAACTTTAATGATACTTCAAACTTTATTTTGTAGCAAACGCACGCCGCACCATCGAAGGCATCACTGGTCAATCTGTTGTGATCTTTGCCGGTAACGTTGCTCCTCCGCCGGGCCCGCCACCGTACCTCCAGCTCAGCCGCATCCTCGACATGGCTCCCATCACTGTCACCGATCAGACTCCCATGGAAACGGTTGTTGACATGTTCAGAAAATTGGGACTCCGCCAGACTCTGGTCACACATAACGGGTTAGTATTTATTAATTTTAAAATTATTAACAAAACAAAGGAATTGTAGTAAATGCGATCAAAGTATTTGATTAGGGAATAATTTATTTAATTTTTTGTGAAATGTTGTTATATTAAAAATAATGAAAATGTATTACTCACAGCCTACCTGGTGTTATGTGGTTACCGGAGCCCATAGACATCTACAACGTAAATGCGCCACCCAACTCGAGATATGAGTTCTAAGGTCTCAGTATAGTTACAACGGCTGCCCCACGCTTCAAACAGAAACGCATTACTGCTTCACGGCAGAAATAAGCAGGGTGGTACCTACCCGTGCGGACTCACAGCAGCTTCTTCTAGTGAGATGAAAAAACAGCTATAATTATAGAATTATATTTATACAATTAAGAATAACACTTGTTTTGTAAATGAATAGGCGGCTGCTCGGTGTCATCACTAAGAAGGACGTGCTCCGTCACGTGAAACATATGGACAACGAGGACCCGAGCTCAGTAATGTTTAACTGAGTGTCGTGGGCAGAGTCTGTGCCGTCGCCGTGCTGGCCCCCGGCGACCCAATGGTAACGGACGCGATCCACAAATTGCCTCAATGATGGACACTACTTAAATGTATTACTCAGTGTATCCTCTGTGGTGTTAGTCTTAAGTTGTATTTGTATATTTTTTTTTTAACATTTATTTGTTGACGAGCATCACTAAGCAAGGCCTCTACGAATATATCGTTATGAAATTTATCAGGGTAAAAAACTGAAACCCGAACGTTTTATGGATATTAAAAAATAAAGTAAAAGATTGTTAAAAGTAACAAGAATATTGAAAAGAAAAAAATGCTCTAATGTAAATAATAAACGTTTGCGAATGTTTTAAGCTCAGCATGTCGATACGTTTTTACACACAATTTTTTCAAAAACTTATGCTTAAATATAAAATTTGTGCTCTTTCTTCATTGATTTGATTATTCAAACTGAATACTTGACCCAAAATCTATTTATAATGCATTTTATAAGAAATAGTAGATTTTGAACAATGAAATAGTACGAAATAAATTTGACATTAATAAAATTGAAATTAATATTGTAATAGTATTACATATAAAAATTTCATTCAAGATGATTAATCAAATACAACATAACCCACAATGAATATTTTGAGGAATAAATTACGTTAAAATGCTATTTTTACTACGATTTTATAATCTTATATTTATTTTCTAACGATTGAGTATTATATTGATTGATTATTTTTTAAATCACAAATAATGGTCAAGTTAGTTATAACAACGCGCATACATAAATTTTTAACATTTGATGTGGTAAACAAATAGAGTTGCTTCATTTACAATTAAAATATAGTTGGCAGCTTCTCTACTAATTTATTATGAAAACTAGTAGGTTTATTTTCATAAGAAGCCCAGATTTTTATTTTACCTTGCTGATATAATAATTCTAGGTATGACAGCTATTTGATTGACAATTTGATGCAGTTTTTGGTAGATCTGGAGGACCATATTAAATGGTCTTAGTCATAAGTATGGCATTTTCGCAATACTTATGTACTTTTTTAATTCTCAAACTGTTAATAATCTGAAATTATTACACAATTAATCCCCCCTCCCAAAAAAATCACTATATTAGCATAATAAAGCAACCCAACATCACTTTTTATGTTCTTGTCGTAGATCTAGTATTACTGCTCTAAAGTGTCACCGCTACTGCTGCTGTCTGGCTACAATTACTACTTCTATATCTTAAATTTATTGTGAAGTGGATTTGCTTTTTTACTCTGTATATAGATAATTATCAAATTAAATGGATTATGTTATAGTTTTATAAGTGTAATTATAATCAGTTTATGAATGGATTCAAAATAAGCGATGTGAGGTGTTGATTTTATTAAAGTTAAATATTACAAATATTATTAATATCATTTATATAATGTACAATATGCTGAAAAGTGAAGTAATTGAATAAATTTACTGTGTCAGTAGGTAGAATAATTAATACTGGGATAGCTTTAGATACAAAAGGACATATTACACTTTCATTAGTGTCTTCAATCAATTAAAATTTAAATTCTTTACATCGGTTGTGTGACTATTGATAAGTGATCAATGTAAATAGTTATGCACCGCTCATCAGCTTGTAAATACTAACTGACAAGTAATATTGGCAAACATGATATAATAACTGCTGTTATTTGCAAGTATTACCTCTTTGTGTAGTTATTGTTTGTATTAAAACATTTTTAAATGTTTAACAAAATCAGTATGCTTCAAACCTCATTTGTTGACTTATTTGTGTACGAGCACTGTAAGTATATAGCTATAAGAAAACGATAAGAATTTTATTTTTATTTCATAATTTAATCTCTTAAATAAATGTATAAGTAAATTAAATGTTGAATGTATATTTTTGAGTATTCTCTTTTTATTGTTAAGACTAATTCTTTTTGTATATAATATCCATGTGTGAATCTATAAATCATCAAAGTATATTTTTTGTATCATGTTATATGTGAACGATGCATAATAATTTGGAATTTATCTCATTTTCTCTAGGCTTAGTGACAAAAATAATGTATTGAATTTATTTCATCGTCATAATGTGAAACATCACACGCATCTTCACAAAACTACGAATAACGTAGGTCCCTTTGTTTTTTGTATAAATGGATATTATTTTCTCGATAAATTTGTTTGTATACGCAATGGAATTATAAGCAATTGTGGGTATTATTATTACATTCTGATATTTGTTACGTCTGATTTCGATCATCCCTTAGGCGGATATTTTTATTGTTTTGTTGATTGTTACTATTTACAATAATTTATATATATATTTCCTTAGACATCTTATTTCTAACACTAATAGTGCCAACCTACTATTTCACTTCTCTCTTATTTAATAACTTAAATTAATACCTAAACCTGCAATAGTCACTGGTGCACGTTATCTCCATATTCAATAATAATTTTTAAAACAATAATTAAGCAGTTTGTGAAGCATATTATTATTAACATAAGACGCGTTTAGTTACATTGATACATGATATAATTAGTGTATAAACTAAATTAATAAAACAAATAAAATAAAAGACCTCTGTGCTTAGTGCTAGTTTTTTAACGTTCTCGATAACGTAAAAGTTAACTCAAAGTAGTATTGAGTGGGAACGTTTACAAATTTGAGTTAACTTTTACGCTATCGAGAACGTTAAAAAACTCGCACCAAGCATACTGGTAAAGTTAGTATATAGTAGTAATTCTAAGACGTAATGTGACTGAAAATTAAACAAATGTAATAATAATTTAACTGTATTTTCTGTGTGAAATAATTTTAAAGATATAAACGTTTTTGAGGTGGCAGTGGGTAGCACACATTGCTCATAAAACAGATGACTGATGGAAACAAAAAGTGATTGAATTGAGACCGCGCACCGGAAGGAAGGCGTTGTACTTGATTGAGGCTCGTGCTACACCTGGGGGAGCCCTGTGTCCCGCAGCTGACCTCTTGAAGTTATAATAACCACTTACTTATGATAGAATTTTAAATTAATTTAATATGGCCTACAACGTAAAACTTAAACGTATAATTTTCAGGCATATTATTTTTAAATTATATTGTATATTACGGAACAATGTGGGTATTTATTGAAAAATTTTAATAGTAAAAAAATTTATTGAAATTATTTTAATTGCATATAAATTTTATTGAAGTCTATTTGCGAGCTGTGAACTGTATTATAGAAGCGTTTTGCATTCAAAATTATTATTATCATTTGGTGTAATGCAAAACGGATCTTGCATTCAAAATTATTATTATCATTTGGTGTAATGCAAAACGGATCTTGCATCTCAAGGCGGATGACAGCGTTCACATTGTTCTAGCATTTCAATAAATAAAGTGTGTAGCTAATTCCAATTACATATACATACACTTCAAAATCTACAATTAGAACATTTTAAGCATTAAACCTGTTATCAATAAAAAGGTAGCTACAACAGTTCCGGTAGTCAAGTTTGAAGTTGACTGCTTAAACACTAACCATTTTTCATAACATATTATTAAAAAAGTATTAAAATTTGCTTAAAATTTAAAGAATAAAATTCATATATCTAATATTTAATCTTTGAATCCCCATTTTGATTAGTCATATCAATCGTAAAATGGTTACTGACGAACTTGCAATGTTTGTTATTAAACATTTAAATCTTTAAAATAATGTATGCAAATAATTATTACTACTACTAACTGATCCCGTGAACGGTATATTGCAAGATTTCGACTCGAATCTAACGGTTTTAAGTAACATTTTTCAAATGCTGTTTGTGCATAGGTAATGTGACAGCTTCTTGTCGGCAGGTTACGAAACGCTTTAGGGAGGAATTTACATTTAAAATTTGTTTTATGTGTATTGTTAATTAAACTGATAGTTGTCAGTTATCAGTATCAGTATATCGACCGGTTGTCCGGATGTTTTTTTTATTTTATCTATGTGCAGCTGTGATAAAGGGGGCGTTGTCTGGCAACCCAACGATCACTGGTTGCATAAATTGAAACGTTTCTGCAACCTAACATCTGAGTAGATGGGCAGCGCTGCTGATACTGCTATGCTGCACTCCAGACTCTTCGGTGGATATGGTGACATTAAATAAGCACCCTCCATCGTGTTCAGTTTACTTGTTAATATTAAATGTGTTTTAAATTATTTTACTATTTTTTAATAATTGTACATCACTTTATTATATTAATATTAATTGTCACTATTATACACATATTTATATATTTTTAATAAATGCAAATTTTATGGATTTTATTGGAATTTCAATATTTTGTTTGACGGATTAATGTATTAATTTACTATAATTATTATTACTGACTATTATTACTAAATACGTTTTATTACTTCATTTAATTTTTCAATAAACATTACCGAATGACACCGTACTCATCGAAGCCTGAAAGAATACCTTTATACTTTTTTTACTCTATTCGTGATTCGATCGTTGTGTATTTGATTTATTGTATGATTTTAGATGATATTATAAATCCAAATAAAATGTGTATTATGAATTGTGTTATTATTTTACAAGGGTAAACTTTACAATAATTGTCAGGGAGACGTTTTTAAAATTCTAAATTAGGTATTCGCAATTGCTGGTTGCGACTATTCTAAGTAATTGTAAAACCGAATAATGTAATAAAGTATCTAATGATATTTTAGGCGATGTTAATTATATGTAGTGTTTACCCTAATTGTTTCCTGCAGAGCGCAAAGCGAATTTACATTTATTATTTATTAGCTATGTTATTTAATTTATTTGTTATATGATGTTTATGTTACCAGTTTCAACATTTTTATGTGAAGTGATAATTAGTGTTTACAGAATGTACGGTTTATCAAAAAAACATCCCTGAATGATTAGTTCTTTTTACAGTTTTTAAATAATCTCATTATATAAAATAATACAAATCCTTATTTTATTATATTATTTCTTGCAAATAGCAGTAGGTACATGAAAAGAATTTTAACTAGCTTTTTATATATAAAAAAAGTGTGTGTGTCCGCTCCGACGCACGACTGGAGTTTACTGGATATAAAAAATTAAACGAAACAATACGAGAAATAGTTCTATATTACGACAACACGATACACTACAGATTATTAACAAATTAACGAGACACAAAACAAACGACTAACAAATATATGAAAATACAATAATGAGAGAAACGCGCGATCAGTACGAGGCTTTGTGGCGGACTGCCGGCGCAG